GTTACGAGTAACTTCAGAACGTTTCGAAACGATCGTGTCTGGCAATCGAATTTTTCTTTGTCTACAAATTTTAATACTGATTGATACTGAAAAACACGTTGATAGAACAATATGGTCTGATCAATGTTTATATTGATATTTTTATACATCCGTCCTGTTGTGCGTCCGCTATTCGCGCGTATTGTTATTGTGTATGCCCACACATTAACTATTTTGTTTATAAAACCATAACCTGAGAAGAACGGTCAATATAACAGATTATTATAAGAATAGCAAGATGAACTCCATTATTTCAGGGCTACTATAAAATGAATTTCAGTGAAGTGCTTTTAATTGATTGTTTATTAAGGACGTAGCACACTAATTATCCCGGAAAGGGATCGTAACCGTATCAACTCGAGGCGGTCAGTATTCTTTGTATGAACTCCATATTGAACGCACACTTATCCGCACCGTAACGTAAACGCCTCGCCTCGCGATTGACAGCGCGCGAAAGGCGATACGGTGTTGATCCCTTTCCGAGTTGATAAGTCTGTTATGAGTTTTATTTTTAAGTGACAAACTATCGCCCGTATTCACAAACGATGCTTGCTCAAGTGAATCAGCAAATTGAACGCACAGCGTTGAATGGAGCTGTGATTGGTTCGTGTGTCACCCTGTGCGTCCACGCGCACTGGGAGATCTTATAGTCATGTTTGTGAATACGGGCGTGCATCTCATATTATGACAGACGAGGTTGAAGCCGAGGGCAAAAGCTGGTAGGTATTATATGAAATTCATTAATCATTCCCATTCTGAAAAGTGACTGATCATCATTATTAAACCACTGTCTGTCTTACCAAATTGAACTTCTCCTATGTTCTATTCTGATTAATTTCGTTGCGAGTCCAATGATAGTTTATCTTTTCCCCGGGACAAACTTGACCTTCACTGGTTGGGTTTTTATTGGCGGTCAAGTTGTAGATCCTGGCTACACAGGAGTTGCAGCGGTGGGAACGAGAGGTGGGAATAGTGCCGTACCTACCAAATTGCCATTCCATATGCAACGCGCGTCTCTTGATTCTAACAGAACAATTTCGTATCTACTGAAACAATAAAAGCTTATCAGGCATCGATCTCTAGGTTTTGGCAATGCCAAAGTGGTAACGACCGCAGGTCAGTACCCTCTGAAAGATCAGTGACCTTTATATTTGGCAACTGACGGCAAAAAACTATTATTTTACTAGTTTTATAGCGGTGGGGAACAGCCAAAGATATTGGTAAAATTTCAATGCAAGAAAGATAATCCAATATTTTAAAGTTAGAGTAAGGTTATCCCGTTTAAAGTCTGTTGATGTCAAAGTCCTTGACAACCTATTATTCCGTAGGCGAGAGATACCTGTCACCAGTAATAATCAGCAACCGTTATTAAGATTGTAATTAACTTTCCTTTGTTATCGTGAAAGGCGACAAATTAATATGAATCACATCAGGCCTCTCCAACTTCTTAGTTCAGACAATATCTTAATTTCTTACAGTAATAAATTGCCTAACTTGTGTGTTTTCAGACCCCAAAGTAAACCTTCTTATAAAAATTAAAAGGCGACGACACAAGCTAATCTTAGTGCAGAAGCCCCTAGTCATAAGAATACTCTGTACATTAATGGCAATAATCATTTAATTTATTATTTATTTAATAACTCACAGTTCCGTCCCAAACACTTTGGAGGACACCGTCAGGTTTTAGTGAGTAGGCCCTGCCCATCTGGCAGGGAGAGCCTCACATAACCCACTGGTTCCCCCGGGCCAGTGGGTATGCAATTTCATGCATCGAAATTCGAAAAAGAAACTTATCAGGCCAGCCAGAATGGAGAATCGCTGACGAAAAAGAAGCTCATCAGGCCAGCCAGCATGGAGAATGTAGGCCAAATCCTCCATTTGCCTCTGGTGTTAAAGAGGCATTGTGGGACCGGCTGGAACGACGATGAAGACAAATTAGAGAGGGTCGTGCTCCTGCATGTCGTCGGTCCACCTTGTGGGTGGACGTCCTACGCTGCCTTTTCAGGTACCTACGCGGCCTCCACTCCTTTGACTTTAACAAACGTGAAATGTCTATCAAACTCCATACAAAAACACCGATTATGGTTGTAGTCACGGTTTAAATAAGGCGGTGCAACTCAACCTAAATAACCTGACGATGATGATAATTATTATTACTGACGGGATTGCTACTACCATGTACCTTAAGGCGATTAGAGTCCTCAATGACCTTGAGCGTATGACCTTCACGCCACGCGCAACACCCGCGTACCCCGCACGAAAACTCCGATTTGACACCGATCAAAATTACACGGGCATAGTAGATACAGAATAGAAGCTCTTTTTTCATACATTACTGCCTATTATTTTAAACTTGATATTGATGAACCTTGATGTCGGTGTCATTTAACTCAGGCGTTTTGAGTTTCCGATATTTCCGCACTGTTGCAAGCGCCATGGTCACGGAGTAACTGAAGAAACTTGCGGGTAAGATGTTATGGGCAGATATCGATTTACCTTTCGCAGTCTTTTATGATTTTGATGATGATGATATTTAGCTAAACGACCCTTAGTATGTTATCGTTCACGCTCCGTCACCTCGCAGCCATAACGCAGTTTACGTCTCTATCCCGTTTCGATTTTTATTTTACGATCGAACTCGTAAACGTATTCAAATCGGGCGTTTATCGTCGGCGACAAAACGTTGAGTGTTGGGCATTTGTTCGGCACAAGGACGGTGGTTTTAGTTTAACTGTAATAAATAATAACTAATATTATAAACTAGCTCCGTCTGCGGTACGAAGTGCGTACGCTGAAAATAGTTTGAAGCAATTTTCATTGAAGCTCCGTTCTTGTTGGTCATAGCAAAATATATGAGTAACCTATAACCTTTTTCAATAAATGTACCATCTAACACAAGAAAACATTTTTATTTCAAACCTGTAGTTCCTGAGATTAGTATGTTCAATCAAATAAACAAAGTCTTAATTAATAAGCGAATATAGTAATAATCGAATATAGTAATATAGGAACACAGTTCAACAGAACTGTGTTATACTATACGAAAAGGAACACCTTTTATACGTGTAAAACAATGATGATTGTGTGTTTCAATGATTATGAAATGATGTTAATTACTCAATTACTTATACAGTGTGTCCGGGCATGTAGTGATCAAACTTTAAAGGCGTAATCTATGAACAATTTTATCGATGAAAATACTTCAAATTTGGGGCTTGACCCATTTCTCGAAAAATTACATCGATTTAAGTTTTTAATTGTTAGTTTACACCTCTTTTTTAAAAAACAAGTGAAAGCGTGGGTAGCTTAACATTAATAGGCAAATATTTTATATCATGCGATAGCCAATAAAATTATCTATTAGTAGAAGAAGAAAGCAGACACAAGTTTCATACATTTTATGGGAGTAAGAATGGATTTAATTAGAAAAATACATTACTTTTTTCACTTCTTTTTCAGTTATTTTCCAACACAAGAAAAACCAGGTCGTTAAGGTATGTTTTATTTGCATTGTATTTTTAGTATTTGAGCTATTCTACAAAACGAATGTAAATTTATTAGTCTACGTCTATTAGTTTCGACGTAATTGTTGAACAAAGATACCCCTTCCCAGCGGTTTCCATAGCGCACGCGACATGCGAAAATGCACTGCCTGAAAGAATCACACAACCTATTCCGATTACTATGGAAACCGCTGGGAAGGGGTATCTTTGTTCAACAATTACGTCGAAACTAATAGACGTAGACTAATAAATTTACATTCGTTTTGTAGAATAGCTCAAATACTAAAAATACAATGCAAATAAAACATACCTTAACGACCTGGTTTTTCTTGTGTTGGAAAATAACTGAAAAAGAAGTGAAAAAAGTAATGTATTTTTCTAATTAAATCCATTCTTACTCCCATAAAATGTATGAAATTTGTGTCTGTTTTCTTCTTCTACTAATAGATAATTTCATTGGCTATCGCATGATATAAAATATTTGCATATTAATGTTAAGCTACCCACGCTTTCACTTGTTTTTTAAAGAAGAGGTGTAAACTAAAAATTAAAAACTTAAATCGATGTAATTTTTCGAGAAATGGGGCAGGCCCCAAATTTTAAGTATTTTTATCGATAAAATTGTCCCTAGATTTTGCCCTTAAAGTTTGATCACTACAAGCCCGGACACACTGTATATACATCATACATAAGGGTAAAAGCTCACATTAACGAAGTTAGGCTCTAATTCACTTTGACTTTTAGAGCTGGGCGGAATAACAAGTTGCATAATTATGTTATTGTTTTGCCAAGTTCCAGGCAAATATTATGATAGTTCTGAGTATGTATGTCTAGTTTTCTTCTTATAAACTTGTGACTCATTCATTAAGAAATAGTTCAGTCAAAAATAAATAAAAAACACTGAATTTCGCACCCGAATAGAGCAAGTATTTACACTACTATAATTCAACATCTATGTTGCAGTCAAAACTCATAATCGGTCAAAACCACTTTTGACTGCAAATAAATCAGTCAGTGGTTTTGACCGATTATGATTTTGACTGTAACATTTAGGCCCAGACCAGACGGTGAAACGCAACTGCAACGAAACTGCAACTGTTAGTTACTTTTGAGTTGCATCTAAGTTTGCCATAGCGTCCGTTGGGAGACCACACATGACGCAACCAGTTTGAAACTTTCAGTTTCAGTTTAATTCATAAGAAACATTAGAAAGTTGCAGTTTCGTTGCAGTTGCGTTTCACCGTCTGTCCTGGGCCTTACACTAATATTTTAAAGAGAAAAAGAGCAGAGAGAGAGTTTGACTGTTGAATTGAAGGCTCCAAAACTACTAACGAATTTTCAAAAGTTGTAGAACATTCATGCTGTGGCTTATGATGTTTTATCTAGTCCTGCGAAATTACTTTTGCAAATAGCCCCATTTATGAATGTCCTAAATATACATTTTCATTTTCTTTCCAGCTAAAAATGGCAGAGCAGCCAGCGGGAGCGACCACCCCGGGCGCCGACAGCGTTGCGGACCCATCGGCTGCGCCCGCGCCACGCAAGACCGCCCGCCCGCGAGGCAAGCCGCAGCCCGAGAGGCCTAAGCGGAGTCTCTTGTGCCTTGGCCTGAAGAACCCTTTGAGGAAGCTCTGCTATGATATTGTGGAGTGGAAGTATCCTTTGACAATAAACGGTCTGAATTCAGATTTTACGATCCGAAGGCTGACCTATTATGTCTAGGTCAAAGAATTCGCCTAGACATCCAGTGTGGCAATGTGGCCTAGCCTTCTGGATACCTTCCCCCAAGGCAGTGATTTGAACGATTTTTTAAGGCTTATATTTTTTTTATTAATGTTTAGTAATCTAATATTATAAATGCGAAAGTAACTCTGTCTGTCTGGGACTGAAACAGGGACGCGCGCGATAAGGTTTTTCTGTGACAGACAAAATTCCACGCGGGCGAAGCCGCGGGCGGAAAGCTAGTAAACTATAATTTTTTCAATTTCTCGTATGGTCGGCAATAACTTGTATCAAGTTAAAAGTCTGTCCTAATAAATTGTATCAAGTAGGTACTTTATAACATTTACAACAGTAGGTAGGTATAGGACAAAAACAATGGTAGGTAATTAATACCGTGCCAACAGGCCCCTGCTCAGCATTTATCGTGACATGCTCGAAAGGGCATGTCAAGAAGCTGGTCTTCCGCGGACTAAAACGTCATGTACTTTTCATATTAATTTTTGTCTTGAGTAGAAGATGACCACGTTCAAAATCTTAATTCAGAAGCGGGGCCTAATGCCCGTTTTCACCTTCAATCCCTAATTTCTAAGTGACCCCTATGGTAACACTTAACAGGCATTTTGTTTTCATAAGGGTCACTTAAATTAGGGATTGATGGTGAAAACGGGATAAACCTATGTTGCGGTAGCCTCCTTGACCGCGCAACGCTGGCCAGTAAGAAAACTACATATTTTTTCGACGACCAATTTCGCTGCTCTTTTGTTTTTGTCTTTCGCTCGTTTATTTTACTTTTTGTTTTGTTACAACAACTTCGATCTATTTATTTATAGTTAATGTGCTATTTCCATGTCAAATCAAATCTGCTAAATATGATATGTGTGTTATATTCACAATATTTAGATGACGCATTTTCTTACCAATAAAACTTCCTGAACACAATGTCCAGACCGTTCGAATACATGATATTAACAACAATATTCGCCAATTGTATAGCGCTAGCAGTATTCACTCCATATCCGTCCGGGGACACGAACAATACTAATCAAATATTGGTAAGTAAATCATTCTATTATTTATACAGGGTGTCCCAAAAATTGAGCATTTCAAGGGCTATCCGAATGTCGTCGCATGCCTCTCTAACTGACGTAACTGACATTTAGCAAAATTTTCAGGCGATTAGACAGATCGGTTCGTCTTGCAAAATGGTGTAGACACGGTAATACTATCTATACAGTATTCCAACTCGGCCATATTTTTCAAATAAATCTCAACAGCCACGCGGTACGTCACAGTATGACAACATGCGATAGGGCTGCCCACTTGCAGACCCTATTTTCATTACATCTGCCTACATAGACTATCTAGTTTTGTGAATGTATTTTGTGATTGTAATTTTTTATTTTATTTTGACAAACAAAATACTTTGTGAATGAAATAGGATAAAAATGCATGTTGTTTTGTGATTTAATAAAAAAAAATATTTGTGTTAAGATTTAGTAACAAATCTTGTAAATTTGCAACCATAAAATGTATTAGCCCTCGACTGAGGCGAACAAAATGCTTGATTATTATATTAGGTGTTAGGTAAATGGGTTTATAAGCGTTATTATGCATATAAATGGTATGATAAGTCATAAAATTGATATCATAATTTTAATCATTTCAATTTTTACACAAATCCGATTTTATAAATTTTATTTTGTATGAAAATTTATTACCGTGGTACATTCGCGACACCCCCGACTTTTGCATGTCGAGCGCATACCGAGATTTGAATTTCGAAGGTAAGCTCGCGTTTCGTCCGTTTATATGAAGTTACAATACTGTATGATAGTATTACCGTGGTGTAGATAACTCAGTTTCGAAAAAAATGTCAGATACGTCAGTTAGAGAGGCAAGCGACGATGTGTGTTCCGCAATTTTCGATATTTTTCCAGTTATGATTATTTGATACCTATGACTGCGCTTAGGCACTTTTGGATCACTATGGCGTGAATAGTTAAGACACAAGCTTGATTTTATTATTATTAGATGAATACTAGGCCTAGCTGATTCAGAAGTATTTAGAAGTAAACTAAAAAATTACGTTGTAAAAAAACATAACTCGAAAGCTATCAAAATTCGCATGGATTCGGTTAGCCCTATGATGCTCTGCCTCTTTGCTTCGGCTTGACACTATTTTTTGGGACAACCTGTATTCATCAAAGGCACCAAAATGGTCCTCTAGAGAATCTAACCATGGACATCCAATGTGAGAAACTCTCTACAGGGCCACAGACCGACACAGGCTTTAAAACCATCATGTGTCTTGTATATCATCATAAATACACAAGCTTTCTTTTATCGGCGATGCTAAAACGAATATGCAATTTGCAACGCCTGAGTGCGCTCATGAATTTCATTAAATTTTATAGCAAACAGGATTTATTGAGCAGTTTATATGAAATCGATTTGATCTTAAAATACTATTCTGTTCAGATCAATGGCGTTTGAGCTGTAATATTTTAATAAGGCACGATTGAATAACTGTTATTTACTTTTAATTGATATTTTATTAAGTTTAATCTACCTACTTTAGTTAGATGACTACGGAGTTGTAGAACGCGTCATCGTAGAGTTGTTTGAACATGGCAAAGTGTTGTCACTCGGTCAGGTTCCCAGGGCCCCGTTTACGCTATTTTGTAATTTCTCCAATTCAATAGCGTGAAGTCCAGTCTACATTCCAATTACACTCCAATTTCATTCCAGCTGATGTGCAATTCGGTATCGCGGTAAAGTTCATGCGCAAACAAAGGATTTATGCACTTTTCATTAAAAGTCCAAACACCTTATTTTTGAAACTAAAATTACTAAAACGTTCGTGTAGCGTTTGACCTGCGTGTGAGATATAGGCGCAGTTGCGCTCCGATTACAGTACAACGTCGTAAATGAACTAGTCGAAACGGCACCGCAATACGGATTTGTCAAAACAGCTGAAGTTCGTTCGTCGTCCAGTTGCGTTGCAGTTGAAAAATTTTAGCGCAATCGGGGCCAAGGTGGAGCATAGCGTAAAATCACTGTATTTGTTCTCAGGCTGCAAAAGATTTAGTATTATGTGCCTCGGAGAGCACATTAAGAAGTGTTTTCCATAGGTATTAACATTTAAAGACATTCACAAGATCGTGTTATATTTTGAACTAGCTGACCCGGCGAACTTTGTTCCGCCTTAATGGCAATAAATAACGGGATAAAAAGTATCCTTTGTCCTTCTCCTGGCTCTAAACTGCCTCCCTGACAATTTTCAGCTAAATCGGTTCAGCCGTTCTTGAGTTATAAGCGAAGTAACTAACACGACTTTCTTTTATATATATAGATATTCATATTTAGCGAAAATACTTCCGTATTGTTGTTGTTTTCAGGAAAAAGTAGAATGGATATTCATGGTGATTTTTACGGGAGAATGTATAATGAAGATTATAGCGTACGGCTTTCTGTTCCACCCTGGTGCCTACTTGAGGAACTCGTGGAATAGTTTAGATTTTACTATAGTCACTATAGGGTAAGTTTATTATAATAGAAGCGAAAATAGAAGTTAATAAGAGCCTTGTCACACTGGCGGATTACAAGCGTTTTCAAAGCGGAGCGGCGACGAAGCGAAGGCAGGGTACTCACCTGCCATGTGGCACGTAACGTAGCATGTAACGTAACCAACCTTCAAGTGAGTACGGCTCGTCCACGGTCATCGCCTATCTGGCTGCGAGCTCCTGAATCCGCCTTTGTGCTCGCAGTGATACCGCCACTCGGCGGGTCGCTGCGATCTCCCTGCGAACCACGCGCGAGCAGATCGCAGCGGACTCGTGCCTATGTACTCACTTGATACAGTATCTGATACATTACATGCTACACGGCTAGATGAGTACCCTGCTGAACACGCCGCGGCTGTGCGCCGAATATGTCGCGGATGCGCAACGTTTCTGCCTAGAGTTTAGACCACGTGTTCTCCGCGCATCTGCCAGTGTGGCAGCTCACTTAGGCCCAGTTTTTTTTATTCATAGTTAAAATAACTAATTGTTAAATTTTGCTACTAATGAAAGAAAGAAAGAAAGAAAAGTATTTATTCGATGCTAGTACAAAATAAAATAACAAATAATAATGGTTAAATATTAACTAAATGTAAACTAATAGTTAAAAAATGTAATAAAAGTCAAGCTAACCATTGCTCGAAAAACATTTTTTTCTGATACTTATCCAGTTGTTAACACAAAACTGGGTCTTAGGCCGAGTTTTTTTGATTCATAGTGAAAATAACCAGTAGTGAAATTTGACAGATGTCAAATGACAAGTGGTGAAAAAATGTTTTTCGAACAATGGTTAGCTTGACTTTTAGAACATTTTGTAACTATTACTTTACATTTTGTTAATATTAACTATTGTATATTGTAGTAAAATTTGACCATTAGTTATTTTAACTACGAATCAAAAAACTGGGCCTAAGGCAATGATAGTAGAAGAAGCCCAATGGTGTCAGTGTCGGCCTGGCCGAATCGAGATCCGAGGAACGCGGGTTCGAATCCCACCACTGGACTATAATGGTGAACCCATTCATAACACAAGTAGCACTTAACTCACTCAGTGCCTGAGGCATGGGAGCGGCACGGGAGGGTGTTTTTGTAACGTCAAACGTCAGCGAGACTTCAGATCTTCATATTTATTTGCTCTATTACGTGTCAATGTCACTCCTCCCGCTTCCATATATCAGGCACTGACAGTGTTATGGCGCAATTTCACTAGTCGATAGGGTCCGCATGCGGCGTGCGGGAGATTTCTGGAACGCATGCCACAGGGCCCGCATATAGGGAACCGTTTTCATTCGTCGATAGGGTCCGCATGCGGAGTGCGAGAATTTCTGGAACGCGTGCCACAGGGCCCGCAATCTGGGTGCGAAGTTTACTAAAAAATAGAAACAGACATGGCGCGTCAGAAAATCTGAATGATGAATGACGAATGAAATTCATACTGCATGCGGGGAATCCCCGCAGGCTTTGTACCGAACGCGTATCGACTTGCAACTTTCATTGGTCGTTATCTCGCATGCGGGGAGTCCCCGCATGCTGTATACCGAACGAGTTATCGACTAATGAAAATGCGCCATTAGGCTCTAGACCTGTAATTAAAACTGCTTATGATACACAGTATATCTTGATGTGACAAACTAACAATAGTATTCTGTCCACAGTATAGTCAGTATGATACTGCAGTATATATCAAAAGACTCGTTCGACGTGAAAGCTCTGAGAGCTTTTAGAGTATTGAGACCACTCCGGCTTGTGTCTGGCGTGCCAAGTAAGTTACGTTTGTTTTGAATACAGTAACATTGATTACATTGACATAGCATTTAGTAATGAACGGGATTATTCCCACCTCTCGTTCCCACCGCTGCAAGTCCTGTGTAGCCATGATATCTACAGCTTGACCTCCAATAAAAACCCAATCATTTAAGGTCAAGTTTGTCCATTTATTATTAGTTATAAATTCTTCTAATGAAGGTACTAATACCAAGAGCTGTGAGTAACTTAAGTTAGCTTAGTTTAGTTGGTATAGCTGGTGCAGTTTTCCATAAGAGCAGATTGAAAATTATGCAAATACTAGGGAAAACTGCGTCAACTACGCAAGTAAGTATTTAGCTTCTGGTCAGCAACCGGCATGATGCCGTCATCATCAGGTCATTTAGTCTCCACTGCAGGAACACGACTCTCCAAATTACCAAAGGCAAAAGAAGGATTTTTGGCCTACATTCCCCATGCTAGCCTAATTAAAGATTATTATAAGTGTTTTCAGACTGATTTTGTCTTAGAATTATGGGTCATTTATGTCAACAATTAATTAGACAATTTATTGATAGGACATCATTATACTGTCTCCAGAAGCATTGCTTTTATTAAGGAAATTATGCAAATTCTTGTGTTTAAGGTCTCCAAATCGTGTTGAACTCAATCCTGAAGGCGATGGTGCCTCTATTCCACATAGCCTTCTTGGTGCTCTTCGTCATCATCATCTACGCCATTATCGGTCTGGAGTTGTTCTCTGGAGTCCTTCACGAGACTTGTTATATCAATAATACTAGTAAGTATACGTATTGTATAATGAGAGTTTTAAATATTTAGTTTGTTGTTTGAAATGTTTCAACCATGTCCCATCCTCTGCTATACAAAGATCCTCGCGATTTCTACAACGACCAGTCCTGCACTGCTCTCATCCAGGTCCTTCCCGTGATCTTCACCAGACCGTCGGTCCAGCGAGTGAGAAACCTGTCTGTCTGCGTCTTTTGGTCCGTTGTCGCTACTCAAGAACTTTTCTGCCCCAATGGTCATCAGTACAGCTGATCGTATCTGTGTGCCCAGCCTACTGCCAAAATGTGATAGCATCTTCATACATAATTAAGGTGCTGTCAAAATAGACAGTTTATTTTCACCAGCCGATAATGTTGTCCCAAATTGGAGGTTGGATAAGCTATTATTTGGGACATGTATAATATAATAGGTGGAATTGTGTAAAGCAATCGTAATTATTTGGCAGTTCATAACGTACGATTATTCTGTCAAACGCTTTGTATAACTGACTTTATCGTACGTTATGAACTGTCAAATGATTACGATTGCTTTACACAATTCCAGCTAATGTCCTAAAAACGGGCTATATTAATAGAATTTGTTATTTTTAGATGACATGGTTGATGGGGCTACCCCATGCAATAAAGACGGGGATGTGGGTTACAAATGTTCCGAGGATGAGATCTGCAGGGGTCCGTGGAAAGGAATCAACTACGGTATTACAAATTTTGACCACATAGGGTACTCTATGTTGACCGTTTTTCAATGCATTACCCTTGAAGGGTGGACTGATATTATGTACGCTGTAAGTATTTATCCTTGATCATATAAATCTACTGTCACTTTGTAATAAACACTTTTTTCTTGTATTCTACGGAGTCCTATCCCATAAGAGTTTGCACTTATTGAAGTACAAGTAGATCTCATTTTAAATTAATTAAAAAAATGTTCTTCCGTTTTCTAGCTCGTCGTGTATAATTATGTAGTTATATTTTGTTTGTTATTATGGTATTTTCCAGATAGCTGACGTAAAAGGGAACACATGGGCGTGGATCTACTTTGTGACGTTGGTTATCTTTGGAAATTTCTTCGTCATGAATCTAATTCTTGGTGTGTTATCTGGGTAAGGAATTTCATACAAGTTAATACTGGCCACCTCGAGTTGATACGGTTGCGGGTTGATAAGTGTGCTTCGTCCTTTATTCTACCTACTAGATTTTTATGATTAGCAAAGGTTTCAGTAAAAACTTTAAACATTTGCGTTAATCCATAAAATAAAAGGTTTTGCGTCCTGCAAGTAAAATATCATTATTCTTTCAGAGAGTTCTCAAAAGAGAGAGAGAAGGCGAAAAACCGCGGTGATTTCCAAAAATCTAGAGAAAGGCAACAATTTGAAGAAGACTTAAAAGGATATTTAAATTGGATAACTGTAGCTGAAGAGTTAGACCTAGAAAACGATCAAACTCAGAAAGAGGACGATCAGGATTCGCAAGGTAAATAAATCTTAAATTTAAGACAATATTGTCTTGTGAAATCTTATGAAGCTTTTGATAAAGTTGCCGTAAGCAAAATGATTCCTACAGACATTAGTATTTACAGGTAAAAAAGACAGAAATAGCAACGAAGGATCTCAAAATAATGTTAATATGAACGGCGATCAACAGTACAATCAGTCTACAACGTGCAAAATGTATTGCAGAAGGTTTGACAAGGTACTATTTTATGCCTCTTTCTATTTAATTTAATATTTTATGTAGTCATTAATAAAATCACGCAATGACGAAAATAAATGTGTGTTGAGAACTTGCAATTGAGTAAATTTATCTTTATTACTTGAACGTGTAATTAATCGAAGATATCAAAACGCGTTTCCAAGAAAATATTTGCATAATTTAGGTATTATCTGTTAATAAAATTTTCAGGTAAACAGAAGAATGAGAAGAACTTGCAGAAAAGCAGTAAAATCACAAGGATGTTATTGGGCAATCATTGTTTTAGTATTTCTCAACACTTTGGTTCTGGCAACGGAGCATTATAAGTAAGTAAATTATTGGATCTCCATTAATATTATTAGTTTGACCATGAAGTTATTAATAACCCATTAGATCTCTTTAGATCTTTATCACGCATTTACGAATGGAATGTTTAATAAATAAACCATAAATTTTATTTTCGGTTGCAGCCAACCGAAGTGGCTAGATCAGTTTCAAAACATAGCAAATTATATTTTCGTGGTGCTATTCACTATGGAGATGTTGGTCAAAATGTACGCTTTGGGATTTCAAGTAAGTATGAATTTTTTTACTGTTTACGAAGTCCATTGATAAACATAAACACACAGTCGACTTACGGGACAGACAAGTAATTACACATTTATATCAGCTAATAATTAATTCTGCATTGCAGCAATACGACCCTTTTTAATTTACCAGACAAAAGAAGTATTTGTATCTTCTAAATATATAAAAGGAGAAACTGACTGACTGACTGACAGATCAACGCACAGCCTAAACGGCTAAACGTAGGCACTTGAAATTTGGAAGGGACGTAGCTTAGGTACCGTAGAGGTGCACTAAGAAAGGAATTCCCGAAATTCCCACGGGAACGGGAATTAGCGGGAAAAATGGGATTCACGCGTACGAAGTCGCGGGCGGCCGCTAGTCAATAATATTTCAGTCATTTTGTTTTATGGTCTGTTGTTATGGAAAGTCAATTATATTTTTTCTGGCCTCTTGTGCGTGCATGTGAACTCATGGATAATTTAGCGTGTAAAGCCTGGTCCGTGAGGACGTAGAATTTTGGCCAATGACCCCCAGCTACCCATCCTTATCGCTCGCGCGTAATTATGTTGCTCGCGCTCGCACACTTACTGCGGGTGCGCGTCGCACAGTCGCGACAGCAATATAATTACGCGCGAGCGATAAGGATGGGTAGCTTGGGATCATTGGACAAAATTATACGTGCTTACGGACTAGGCTTTACCGATAACACTCAAACATTAGCGGAAGAACGGTGGGGCGCGTCTTCGTGGATGAAACGATCTATAATTAATTACTTACCTTGTACTGCTTCCAGGGTTACTTCGTCTCCTTGTTCAACCGCTTCGATTGCTTCGTCATGATCTGTTCGATCCTCGAGCTGGCTCTCACCATCACGGACACCATCCCACAGCTGGGCATCTCTGTGTTGCGTTGTGTCCGATTGCTGCGAGTCTTCAAGGTCACTAAGTAAGTTGTCACTGTAACAAATGAAATACATAAATTAAACATGCATGGTGCAAAGCTTAATAAATAAAAATAAATCGTATCCTATCCGAGAGGTGATTCTGGTGCTTAAATAAAATAACAAATTGTGTACGAGACCATCATCTAATTCTAAAAAAACAAGATTTCTCCATATTTTTGAACGATCTGTGGGAAGAGAATCAGACCATGACTTATCTACTTGAGTCTTCCTTGTGGTCCAAAGCCTGTATAAGAGAAGATCTGGAGAGCTACGAGGAATGCGATTAGAGTTGTCGACGTCATTATACATAGAGCCGTTATTAGAACGATAGCTACTAATTAAAACTATTGCGAATAATTTCTAACAAAATGTCCCTAAAAATAAAACATATAACTGAATTGCCAATGATATTTTGTCAAGCATAACGATCCATTCACTTTTTTCAGGTACTGGCGCTCTCTCTCCAATCTGGTAGCGTCTCTTCTCAACTCGATCCAGTCCATCTTCTCCCTCCTTCTGCTTCTGTTCTTGTTCATCATGATCTTCGCACTGCTCGGCATGCAGGTGTTTGGAGGTCGTTTCGATTACGAGGCAGAGGTGCAGAAAGAAAGGCACAACTTCGACTCTTTCTGGCAGGCTGTGCTGACGATGTTTCAGGTAATTGAAAATGTATAATATTAGAAAATTCTAGAAATACCACCCACATTGTTGAAACAATTTATTTTTTTATGATTTTTTTATGCATAACAAGGCAGGTATTTGAATATTTTCGTTTACCTATAAATTAGTAGGTGTAGTAGAAGACGTAGTTTTAAAATCAAAAATATTTATTCAGTTTAGACCACAAGTGGCACTTATGAACGTCAATAGAAAAAATAAAAAAAGAAAAGGTAGCCCTTATGGGGCACTTTACATGTCTCCTTATCTTTGATAATGAAAATGCTTTATTATTATGTTTAGTCTGCGTCTTTGTTGTACATAAAGAAGGTGGCAGAAGATGAATTATAGTCACAGGCATTAAATTCTATGTTATGTCTTATACTATGTTCTTAAAAAAATGACCTCATTTCAGATTTAAAGAAGATATTAGATAGATGAGTGAAAGTCCCTGTCTTCCAGCTTTAATACTCAAAATTTTTGGTTAATGGTTTGGTGATGAACAAAAATGATTAAATTTCAGAATACCTAGGCTAGAACCGATAACGATGACATTACATTATAAGATTTGCAAAAAGCGCAGTTTACATCGAAAAAAGGTTTATTTTCAATTAATCTGTTTTCAGATCCTCACCGGTGAAGATTGGAACGTGGTCATGTACCATGGCATCAATGCTTACGGCGGAGCAGGTACACCTGGCATGCTCGCTTCTATCTACTTCATCGTCATATTCATCTGTGGTAACTGTATCCTTTTACAATAAAATACCATTGAGATTAATTAGCTATTCTAATCAATTAGTTTGCCATGATTGAGATTGATTCAACCCATTTCATAGTATGGAACTACTTCTATTTTCGTAAGTCATTATTTTCCACTCCGTTGTGATCATGACATCAAAATGACTTTGATACATTTTTGAAGTGGCAAGGGCAAGGCACATAGTACGCAGAACTGACGGCCGATGGGGCAGCAGGGTTCTGAAGTGGAGGCCACGTACCGAAAAACTGTTCATTCACATAGATAAAAATAATCGTAAAAAAGTTAAACCAGGATAAATAAAAAGAAATGTGACTCAATATTTTCCTCAACCAAATAAATCAGATATTCTGCTGAACGTGTTCTTGGCTATCGCTGTGGACAATCTAGGAGATGCCGAAGAAATGGATGAAATCGAGAAAGCTAAAGAAGTAAGTTTAGTATAAATAACAAATGCCATTTTGTGTTTGATAATAATTACTAATCTTATTAGAAAGTAGAGAAAAAGCAACTAGCAATTGCTTATGATAAGTCTAGTAAATAAAATAACAATAATAGAAATTATGTAAACTGTAATATTTTTAAAGGATGCTGATAATCCCGAAGCTGGAAACCCTCAGCTTGACGAGGAGAGAGGCGAAACTGACGACGAGTACGTCAATGAAGAAGAGGGATATTCTAGCGAAGGGTATGCAAATAAAAATCGTTTTAAATGATAATAACAAGAAGGAAATTTACTATTCACTTACTAATTATTTATGGAATAAATGACTATGACTATGACTGTAGATTAGTTAGCTCGATTTAATAAGTGATGATACTTAATTATTATTATTAACAATAACAACGTTTCAAACAGCCGGCCTTACAAGAAATACAAAAGGGTACCAAGGTAAGACAAATAGTATAATAATGTACCTAACTTAAGTGTAAATAAGTCTATTTATGTTATTAAAATGTTAAATAACATTATCTAAAAAAACATGTTGTAAGCCATTACACTAGAATAATAACAATATTCGAAATAAAATTATATTAAATGATTTTTTCAAATACAGGTCAGACCACGAATACGAAGAGACGGGTTCAGAAGAAGACGCAGAAGAACAGGAACAAGAAGAGAGAGACAACGCAAACGATGCACTGGTCGCTACTGAGAAATTGCAAAATGGTAACTAAATTCCTACTTTAAAACTAAAATAATACTAACATAATGGATAGTTGTTAAAATGTGAGTCGCTCATACACAAAGATCATTCGCCAAATCACGAATGTTCTAGATGAAACCTAAAACGCCTACGAACGCTAACCTTACAACCTAGACCCCATGGTAGAGCACCTAGCTTGATGCGATAAAACTTTAGAATATTGGAGTAGCTTTATTTATTATATTACACATGGGCTAAAATTTAGTGATAATTTATGATGAAAGCAGTAGGGGCGTCCATCCATTAGGTGGACAAATGCACAATACACGACCTTATAAAGGTAGCAAGAAGGCGCTAGATGCAGGTCGCTATGTAGCAACCGAATGATATGGAATTCATTGGGGGAAGCCTATGTTCAGCAGTAGCCGTCCTGTAGCTGAAATGATGATGATGAAGAAAAGCAAAAAATAAAGCACATTCTGAATGCATTTTAAAAGAGAAACTCAATATTCCAGGTGACGTTAAAAAAGATGAGAACCAAGAGAAACGGCCAGCAGGAATCTCGGCGAGGCCTCGGAGGCTGTCGGAGGTGGAGATCAAGTCGCAGGAGAAGCCTATACCGGACGGCAGTAGTTTCTTTATATTCTCCAAAACTAATTGGTGAGTATAAGAATGATACAACTTCAGAGTTCCCTGTTACAATGTTTCTTACGCAAGTCATTCATGCTTACTTAATAAGAACAATTGCCCATCAATAGTAAATCGCCTTGATTAAGCAGTATCTATGGATACTTATATTAAGGATCATTAATTTATTACATAGCGTACATATTAATCCTAAACAGCTTCGCATCGAGTCGCTGGCGAAATGTTATTCCAGCTAAATAATACTCGCTGAAGAAACTCTTTTCTTTAAGTGTAGACACAGTTTATGTATAAGTCCACTATTGCATGCCGTGGCAACCTATAATTAAGGCAGCACTTAGATTAAGTTAAATACGTTGTAAATATTGATTGTCTTCCAGTGTGTCTTGTTGGTTGTCCTATTAAATAAATAAAATAAAATAGCTGTTGTAAATGATATATATTAGCCCAAATTAAGCATAATTCTATTGTATTCAGTATTTTTAACGATTGGTTCGTGAATTTACACTTTTTACAGATAATTCTTATTAATTTTTTGAAGATTTTTGTTTGTTTCTCGGTTTTTCAGTATCTCTCTCGTGATTCCACAAATACCTAGTCAAAAATCAAAAAATATCTACAAGTTAGATAGAAAATATTATTATTCGTATAATATTTGATTGATTCACAGGTTCCGAGTCTCCTGCTACAAGATCCAAAACAACGCGTGGTTCAAGAACTTGATCTTGCTGTGCATCCTGGCCTCTTCCCTCATGTTGGCCATGGAGGATCCTGTCGGAGGGAAGGCTAACGAGGATAAGGCTAATGTAAGTGACTTTACACTATCACTTCTTCGGCCATGTATCTCGGCGCAGTAATGACTCCATAGAGCGTCTCTTAGTGTAGGGAAAAGTTGAGAGCACCAGACCACAGGGTAGATTTATTTATTTATTTATTTATTATTCATTATTGAGCAATTATATTTGATCCAAATAGCGTCCTAAATCCTCTTTAGGTTTGTCTAGACACTAGATCACCAATGAGATAGACGGACCAGATCAAGGCCGCAACTAAGTGCTCGGTTAGCGAAAGTGCCCGGAAAGCTGCAGTCCGCGAGGAATGGCGCCGTATTACGAGGAACATCACTCTGAATCGTGATTCACAATGATGACCACGACCACTCTGACAAGAGTGTACCGACTGAGAAGAAGAAGAAGAACACTATCAGATATTGCTTTGATTAGATATTGCTCGGAAATGTTTTTTTTTTCACAATAGAGATATTTTTGGCTGCATGATAATAATATCTGGTTTTTACAACGGAGAAGCTTTTGGGCTAAATCTCGCCTAATGGAAAGTGATGATCAGGTTGAAGGTGGAAATCTTCACCCGGTATCCTCAACCACAGAAACGATTACAATGATTCGGGAATTTGCTTGCAAATGACCTAGATTTTGGGAATGATCTGGTTTGTCTGAGACACTAAGAATACAATGATACAATGTACCACAAAATGTATGAAAAGCTTGACTTGAAATCCATTTAGTATTTCTTATCAATTTTGTGGTAGTGGTAGGAAATTAACTTTAAATCTGGGGTAGTACACTGATTTACTTTGATGAATCAAAGTTTATGTTACGTACGCATAATAATAAGTTTTGGTTGATTGAATCTCTTTTCATCATCATCATCATCATTTCAGCCACAGGACGCCGCTACCAATCGATCAACATGGAATCTCTTTTATCTTCCAACAAATCAGAAGAAATATTCTGCTGATATTTACTTTCTGCTGATTTTAACTTTACTCTTGTCCACAATTTCCAGATCCTCAAAAAGATAGACTACTTCTTCACCGCGGTGTTCACCATCGAGCTGCTGCTCAAACTCATCACCTACGGGTTCATCCTTCACAAGGACGCGTTCTGTCGGTCCGCCTTCAACCTACTAGACTTGTTGGTCGTGATCGTTTCGCTTATTTCTTTGGATGGGTGAGTAAATAATTTAGGTTTAAAAAGGATTTGATTTGAAAAAAAAAAAACTTTTGCTGCGATAATAGGCACCTATTTTTATTTTATTTTAAACGTGAGTTATGTCAAGCATCTTTATTATCTGCGTCTCTTGAAGACAGTTATTAGGAAAATTATACTGCTACAACTATACTACTGTTTTAACTAACACAGTGGTCTGCCTGCTCATTGATGAGGATATGAAAATTGCAACCTCCCAATTTTAGTTACTAAATAAACTAAAAACTATTAGCATCTTCAGTGCGCCATCTAACGGCGTATAACAGCATTACAATGAACAGCGTGGGCGTAAAATACAGCGCGAGAAAAGCATGGATTATGAGCTTTTATAACGTAGCTCTTTGTGTGCTCTCTAGATGTCGTTATAGGTTTCATAAATTCTAAAGTTGTTTGACAAAATATTACAAACTACCTACATTGGTGGTGGGTGAGGCGATTAAAATGAAAGAAAATATAAGAGATCCTAATAAACAAACAAAAGGATTTTTCGGATCAACAATATTAGAACCACTCTATTATTAGGAACTGTACAGTAGTCGTTTTTTTTAATCATTAAATGTAAAATAAATGAATCTTGTTCTTTTTCAGGTCTAACCAAGTATCGTTTATAAAAATTTTGAGAGTATTCAGAGTGCTCAGACCTCTAAGGGCCATCAACAGAGCAAAAGGATTGAAGGTCAGTATGTTTCCCAAGTATTTTTCACTTTTCATTTGCGCAAATAAATAAAAATAAATAAACACCTCACTTGACTTTAAAAAGTGTTGTGCTCACTATAAAAAAAAAAAAAAAGTGTTGTGTTTTTTATTAAAAAAAAGGAAAAATTTGAACTTAAAAAATGTTTTTACAATTCTAGCACGTAGTACAATGCGTGATTGTTGCGATAAAAACCATCGGCAACATTTTGTTGGTGACAAATCTTCTGCAATTCATGTTTGCCGTCATGGGGGTGCAAATGTTCAAGGTAGGGAGTTAAAAAATGATATTTTGTCTTTTTCCTATGTAACCGACACCTTTGGGTCACTAAATCATTTTTTGAACAACATAAAAACATTCACTAGAAGGAGTAAGTATGCACTATTACACAATCGATCACATTCACAAATAAAAAAAGAAAATTATAAGAGATTTCGTTTCTTTGTGTGTGAGAGCTTTTTTCGTATCAAACGAATTGAATACTAACATTTTTTTTGCTTCTGTCCGTGGGTCCAAAAAATTCGCTGCTAGGCATGCATGCTTCTATCGTTTGTTTTTTTATACCAGCCCAAAGGTGTTGTGTCCAATATTTTTTTGAACCAAAAAATATTTTTTGAGAGTTTTTTGGACTCAATTATGAGCTTGAGATTTCTTTTGCGCAATCCTCCCTACCTTGACATTTTTATAGGACCGAGGTACTTGGTTTTCCGTGCTCATTTTTGTTTTTCTTGTAAGTTTTTTTGAATGAGTCAGATCAGGACACTGGCAAAAAGTGAATAATGTTTTTCTTGTTTTACAAAACCAAGGACTAACGCCATGTAAGTAGGCAGTTTGTTATTTTTAATTTTTTAACATTTTTTTGCCTTTTTTACACATTTTTTGTACATCGCGCCACACACAACACATGCACATTGGGACAAATGGTTACGATAAACTAAAATCGGTAAAGTGATTGTTGAATGTTATACTAAAATTATAACTTTTTTGTATTTAACAGTATGTCGTTAAGTGTGTGTTCGCTTCTATAAAGTCTATAGGGAATATTTTTCTTATAAATCACATATTGCAATTCATATTTTCTGTTATTGGTATACAATTATTTAAGGTTAGTATTTTTAAACCTCGATCAATCCTTCCTTACACCATTTTTGTTATTTTTGTAGTATTTAGTTTACCTGTAGAGAAGTTTATCTTTGACACTATACTCAACTTGAGTCTAAAATACGAATAATTCAGCAGAGATTTTAACAATAAAGTCTTTTAACAATAAATACTGTAGGCATACGGTCCATAAGAGTAAATTACTGTACGTACAGTCAAATATACTTACGAGCAAAAGTATGGAATCATGCCGTTGTGTTTGGTTCCGAGCCATCTTAAGAACTGAGTGATTATGTATGTATTAAAATTTATAGTATCAATTTAAAGTGTAAAACATTACCTTTAAAATGTTACCATTTTTAATTATCTTCTATTAGTCATTTGGGTGAATATCCCAAACACGTTTTTTACGCGGCGGAGCTGAGAATCGATGGGAGAAATGTAACTAGAGTGATGANTCGCTAGGTTTGCATAGTTTTCCGTTAAATTACCCTGTCACAAATATGTAGCTGGTATAGATCTAGAAATATCTTCATACTTAATCTCCAGTTCGCATGGTCTTTAGCGAATAATTAGTTGCGTAATTCTGAGTATAGGATAGGTATGATACCATCATGAAAACTTGGATAGCCTGGACCAATATTTTTACTTATGGAAGATAAACCTAACACCAACCTGGGGCAGTTGGTCGCCCTCCTGGGACTAGAGTTGGTTTCTGGGTTTGAGGGTCATGTATGATGTCTTTGTGATGACTCTAGAATAACGGGGCTGTTGGCGGCTAGAGCCAGAAAGTTTTGGATTTGTTCTCTATGGAGGGATTTTGCCGTTATCACCATGCTTAGCAGGCTGGTTGGTAGTTCCAGTATGGTAGTATAATACCCGGAAAGATGCTGCAGCCCACCCTCCAGTATTTTGATTCCTTAGTCGGCTATTACGACTCACGTGGGAAGATTTGATGCTTTTTTAGGGTCACAACACAGGCCTGAATATTGTTTTTAATTATAAACATCTTTACTGGATAATAATACTTAATTGATTACAAATAAATAAGTAATTTGAGACAATCATCCGTAACATTCCGAAGTCCGCTGTATAAATAAATTTCGGTGGATTGGTTCTTAATTCCGGTGGCTCAAATACAATTTCGGTGGCTCTTGATAATTTCAAATTGACATATCTCGAGAAGTATTAATAATATTTTGATCTCTACCATATCATTGAATAATACAAGTTATTTACTATTATTTCTGCCACAAAAAAGTTTTGGAAAGTGGAAATTAAAATTCGCCACCGGAATTAGGCAAAAAACGAGTTTGTTGATATTCACCCATTTAGTTCTTACGATCGCTTGGAAAAGTATGGTGATTCCATACTTTTGCTCGTGAGTGTAGTTCGTGACACCCAAAGTGGCCAAAAAGTTGACAACACAACCTTAATCCAATGAGGGCTATCGTTTTAGCGCTCACCAGTTAGCGCCACTGTAGAGTAAGGTCCTGTCACTTGCTAGTAGCGAAGACAGTGGCACCAACTGGTGAGCGCTAAAGTGGTAGGAGGACTATCGCATTTGCACTCATCAAGATGGCGCCACTGTAGAGTAAGGTCCTGTCAATCGCCAGGGGTGCCAACTGTTAAGTATAAAAACGATAGCCCTCATTGTAACAAAGACGTGTTACGAACTTTTAGACTACTTTGGGCGTCACGAACTATTTGATGCTAACTGTACCACTAAGATTGGTCCGTGCTATGCTCTATCAAGCCAAATTATTGTATCTTTTTATAAAGACTATGATAGGTAATTTCTGAAAACTTGTTATACCTGAGAATGGTGTCACAGTATAAACACAGTAGTACATTAGAATTTTAATTCTTGCTTTTAACGGCAAATTGTGCTAAAATCCGTCTTATTCGTGCTTAGCTCTAAAACAAAGAAACGAGGTCTATTTTGTACATTTTTTACTATTAGAATGCGTGTTAAAATTATTGATATTGCATTAAAATATTTATTGTGATTTCAGGGTAAATTCTTTACATGTAATGACATAACCAAAGTCACGTTTGAAGAATGTCGGTAAGTTATTTTTAAGAAAAACTGAAATTAACTAAGAGCCATAGCATATGTCATGATACTTTTTAGCATCGACGATTGGCGACTTAGCGCTTTTTTAGAAGCTGAATGCTGCGACCACAGTTACCAAAACGCGTGATTCCGATACCGCTTCTGTAGGATGCGCACTGCGATAAGCGGTTATCACGCCATTTTATCGATTTTGTCCATACATTTTGACGTCGATAAAGTATATCACGGCGCGCATCTTATCGCTGGACGCATGAAGTCGCGAAATCGCGCTGTCGCATCTATAGAGCCGCTAAAACGCGCGATTTCGATACCGCGGTCGAACGCATGAAGTCGCGAAATCGCGATGTTGCAGCGATACAGTCGCTAAATCGCCGATCGCCGATCCTAAAATGCTGATGTCATTCTATAAAAATGTGTAATTTTCAGAGGCTCATACCTTGTTTATAATAATGGTAAGCCAGAAATCGAAAACAGAGTGTGGACGAAGAATAAGTTCAACTTTGACGATGTTCTCAGCGGTATGCTGACTCTGTTCACTGTGTCGACATTTGAGGGATGGCCCAAGTGAGTCTAAAATATTTTATCATCAATGTCAATCTTCCGAACCGACGACATCTTAAAGGTAGCAGGAAGGCGCTGGACGCAGGCCGCTACCAACCGGGCAGCATGGAAAGCATTGGGGGAGGCCTATGTGCAGCAGTGGACATCCTATGGCTGAGATGATGATGATGATGAATTTCGATCCTTAGTCCATAAATCATGCTAGAAAATCGTCTAGAAAAACAAAAAAAAATGTCGATTTCTATTTGACAGAAAGTATTATGCTAATTTTACTCGCATTATACTTAGTTACTTGCCAATTAAGGAAATAAACTTTCACTGATCAGGAATCGAACCTATGATACACTATTAACAGCTTTTCCTTCTGTTTTCAGTTTGCTATCTACATCAATGGATTCCAACGAAGAAAATCATGGACCAATTGAAAATTCCAGACCTCTTGTTGCATTTTTCTATATCAGTTACATTATTGTTATAGCTTTCTTCATGGTAAGTGTTTTTTAATCCTTAATAACTATAATTATTTTCCTTCTATTCGTACGGGTCTAAGGAACTAAGGTCACTATTTTGGTGTCAGATAATCACAGGAATTGACATAATAATATTCATAGTTCGTTGGTTTAGTATTTTTCAACTTTATGAACTTGATTAAAACTTGACACAGTGTCTTACTCAGATTCGTAAGAGAGTCCAAAAACACGACAAATAAATACAAAAATACCCTTTTGGTGTAAAAACTCATAAATTAATAAGTGGTTTAATATTTCAGGTGAATATCTTCGTAGGTTTCGTCATAGTGACATTCCAAAAAGAGGGTGAACAGGAGTTCAAAGATTGTGAATTGGATAAGAATCAAAGAAATTGTATTGAATTTGCTTTGAAAGCAAAACCTATAAGGAGGTACGTTAATAAAAGATATTAAATTATGAAATAGCGAAAAAAAATCTTAAATAATTGTATTTCTCTTGTTAGTTTTTGATTTGACTTGTTTTAAAGCTGTCTGCGAGAGATCTTTTTCTAGCAATAAGACCGTCTAAAGTTGCTCCCTTTATGTGATATTATTGTTTATTATAATTTTGTATTATTTTAGGTACATTCCAAAACATCGCATCCAGTACAAGACATGGTGGTTTGTGACGTCACAGAAGTTTGAATATTTCATATTCTTCTTTATCGTGCTAAATACTGTCGCCCTTATGATGAAGTTCCACGGAGCTACTCCTGAATACAAAAAAGTATAACTCTATTTTACTATTGAATTTTGTAACATTGTTTTGGATCTTACATTGATGGATTTTGTTATTTTTTCAGTATCTAGATTTTCTGAATATGATCCTGACCACAGTTTTCATGCTCGAATTTGTTTTTAAACTGGCAGCTTTCCGATTTAAGGTAAATATTATCTTGGAAATGTTTGAAAATCTTTATGAAGTGGATTGATTTAATGAAACTTACTTGAAAAAATAACTACAATATTTTTGTACTTTATATTTGATTACAGAATTACTTTGGTGACGCTTGGAATACAACTGATTTTATTTTGGTGGTCGGTAGTATAATAGACATCGTTGTAACTCAAGTGAATGAAAATAAACCGCCTGTTTTTGTAAGAACTTTTAAAAAACTAAAAACATAATATTTAGAGCAATCATGATAGTTTTTGAAACTTATGATTATTTCTTTTTCAGTTTGATGAACTATCCAGCACTAAAAAGAAATTGGACGAGGTACGTATTCTGTTTGTCCAATATCCATTTTATTAAATCTTATAGGTACATAGTATCAAATTCAATTAACTGTTCCATAAGCAATATAAGCATTTTTAAAACGCTGATAAATTACTGTTCATTCATATTAGGTCTCATATTTTTACTGCAATTGTACTTTGTTTTACTGTTACAGGGAACTCTATTGAAATACATCACGTTCTTTCGTTTGTTCCGAGCCATGCGTTTGATAAAACTACTATCAAGAGGAGAGAGAATCAGGACTTTACTGTGGACTTTCATCAAATCATTTCAGGCCCTTCCATATGTAGCGCTGTTGATTGTGCTACTGTTTTTCATTTACGCTGTGGTTGGAATGCAGGTATATGGATATCTAAATGTTCCATTTTAATATTTTCTTTTTGAAAAACTATGCATGAGTCATTTTCATTTTGTGTATTTACATGGATGATATTGTTGTTTTGATGAATACAATTATTTTTTTGTAGTTATTCGGTAAAATAGAGCTTGATAACGAGGTGATCACCAGGCATAACAATTTCCAAACATTCGGAAGTGCTCTCATGGTACTGTTCAGATCTGCTACAGGTAAGATTTTTTCATACTTTGTGAAGTAATTTCTTAAGCGTTTAGGAGAATAAAATTAATCAAGAAAATTGTACTTTCAGGTGAAGCATGGCAAGAGATAATGATGGCCTTATCAAATAACACGATGGAGAGACCTGGAGAGCCTCCAGGCTGTATCGTCCCTGATAACGATGTTCCCAACCCTGATGAACCTTCAGAGTGCGGAACTTGGATGGCTTTCCCTTACTTTATCTCTTTCTCTTTGCTTTGTACATTCTTGGTGAGAAAAAAGACTGTCATATTTGTTTTTTGATTCGTTCACTTTGCAAATCATAACTTAATTTATTTCTTTTAGATCATCAACTTATTCGTGGCCGTTATCATGGACAACTTCGACTATCTTACAAGGGATTGGTCTATATTGGGACCCCACCACCTCGATGAGTTTGTTAGGTATGGTTTTAATTTACCATTTAAATTAAGTATACAGATTTTTTTTAATTAGTTTTGAACCAAATTTTCTTACTCGTAGTTCAAAGTATGATAAATGGTTGGTTGGTAAGTAGTAACAATGTGCAAGAAGAATTTTGTTTTTTTGTTTTTGTGAAATTTAATGACGATGTCGTGTATTTTTAAAGCAACCATGAATAACCAAATTATTTACTGTGTTGAAATAACATTCGTTTCATTAATATTGCGTAGGCTTTGGAGTGAATATGACCCGGACGCCAAAGGACGTATCAAGCATTTGGACGTAGTGACGTTACTTAGAAAGATAAGTCCACCGCTAGGTAAGTATCACAATTTTTCTTCAATGATTGTAGGTACCAGTCAAAAGTGGTTTTGTTTTTCATTTCATGAGGTTCAAAATATTATATCTCTAAGGTTTTGGAAAACTCTGCCCCCATCGGACGGCGTGCAAGCGTCTCGTGTCAATGAACATGCCTTTAAACTCAGATGGTACAGTCAACTTTAACGCCACACTGTTCGCTGTTGTGAGGACGCAATTGCAAATTAAGACGACAGGTTTGTAAAATAATGAAGTCCTTAAAATATTTTGACATTGAGCAACAAACACAGCACACACCTTATGCCCTTATGAAACATTGTAATCTTTTTAATTGTGGATCAAACTGGATTTTAACTAAATTGGTACAGTCAATGTCAAATAGTTCGTAATATCTAAAAAGTTGACAACATAACCTTATTCCCATGTACGATTTTTTGTGTGAGTAAAATAAAGATTTATGTATTATTTAAAGTACAAGCTTTGCTTTGTTTTGGGCTAGCGGTGCAGTGTAAAATGTCCAAGGATATTTATTTATTTATTTAAAGACGTGATGCGCACTTTTTGGGTGTCACGAATTTTTTGACGCTAACTGTGCTAGCACATCATTTGTACATTAACTGTGCCTTCTCCTTTTACTGAATAGAGCAAATGTATTTACATGACTTAACATATTTTCACAGGAGTCATCGACGAATGTAATACCGAACTCCGAGCCATCATAAAGAAAGTTTGGAAGAGAACATCGCCAAAGCTCTTAGACCAAGTAGTTCCTCCACCAGGAGATCCCAATGAGATCACGGTGGGCAAGTTCTACGCCACGTTCTTGATCCAAGATTACTTTAGAAGGTTAGTGAATGTATTACTATGTCATCCATATAGCTTTCTTCTTTATAACAATCATAAAATATTTATTTGTGGAGTCATGTTTATTTTTGCGTACGTAGTACGTCAGTTATTTTTATTTAATCAATCAAATTATCATAAACGAGAAATAAACTATTGGAATACTTTATATTTTTTTTGTTATTTTATTTCTCATGGGTATTTGATAATACTCCTTAACTGTATTGAAAACTTCTAGGCTTTATGTCAAACTCATTTTTATAATAATTATGCTATCTGTATTTTTCCAAATAAAGAAAAACTAAACATATTCCATAATTGGTCCACTTTCCTTGAACAACAAAATTTGTTTAGAGTGAAATTGGACATTGGAGGTATATTTTAATGAAATAACTAATGCTATTTCTGTTTTTATAGGAACCATGCGTAAGTCGACATCCAAGTTTTTTGCAACTCGGCGATTTATTCCGCTGTATTTACGCTTGCCCATCTTTGGGATCCATACCAGTTTGTTATTGTCCCAAGGATGTCGCTTTCGAGATTTTTTTATCACTTTTATCACGATTTTGATTTTGTATAATACCCCCTTTGAAATTTTTAGTATCATCCAATTGTCAATTTTGATTTCTGAGCTTAGCAGGCAATTGACACGTTTTAGTGATGATTGCACGATGCCTCCATCTTTCGTTTTCAGCTTTCCCCCATAATATCTTTAGGATTGATCCAATCCCATGCATACCAAGTCCCTTCACAGCATGATTTTACTTTTTTTCAAAACTGATTCATAAAGTTTTAAAGCATGTTTTCTCCGTGTTTTTGTTGTTTTTACAATCACTTGCTTCGGATCCGCACAGAACTTTTAATTTTAAGTTTGAGTGTTTTTTCAGCGTGGGCAAATTTTATTTTGTGTACGTCCAAACGTTTGCATGTCTATAATTTGATTGGCTTCTGTTACTTAAGATGCGATTCGAAACACTTTACAGTGCAAATGATTGTAACGTCACTGAGAAGACATGTTTTGGTCAAAGTGAATGTCAAATGTCAAAATACAACCAGACATTAATTTATTCCATTTAAAACCCTAATTGATTAGTAACAGTAGTAAAGGGTTTTGAAAAGATTAACCGCGAAGTTTTATTTTTGTGGCTTCTGTGTAAATATGACAACTATGACAGGTTCCGGAAGCGGAAGGAACAGGCGGCTGCAGGTGCTGCAGTGTCAGTTCAGAAGACTCTGCAAGCTGGTCTGCGGACTCTTTGCGATGCTGGACCGGAACTAAAAAGAGCGATATCAGGGAATCTGGACGAAGTGGTCGCGGAGACTGTCGAACCTATGCATAGGGTAAGATTCACTATCAAATCATTTAGTATTCACTGTAGGAGCATGACTCTCTCTAATTTACCAGACGCAAATGGAGGATTTGACTTACATTCCCCACACTAGCCAGATGGGATGCGTGGGAGTCATCCTATTCTATTTTTCCGGAGAACCACACTGCAAGGTAATCGTACTATTCCCACCTCTCGTTCCCACCACTGCAACTCCAGTGTAACCAGGATCTACAACTTGACCGCCAATAAAAACCCAACCAGTGAAGGTCAAGTTTGTTCCGTGTGAAAGTTAAACTGTCATTGGACCCTCAACGAAATTAATCAGAAGAACATAGGAGGAGTTCGAAGATAAGGTTCAACTTCCCTCCATTGCAAAGCGGATGACAGGTGACCAACAAAGGTCATACTCGTACTGCCAAGAAACTATTATGTTACTGCCTAAAAACTAAGTGAGATACATGATTTCAGCGTAATCATACATTATTTGGAGCTGTCTGGACCAGTATAAAGAAACACGGCCGGGAGAGTTTCTACGGCAAAGTTGATAAGAAAGGAGCACAGCCTTCTGTTAAACTCAAAATGCCAGCAAGTAAGTTATCATTATTTATATTTGTATGACTTTAACGTATTAATATTATATATATTATATATATTATATCTAAGTTCAAATTGTTACTAACCAAACTATGGACTACTTTTGTCTGAAAATAAATGATTTTTATTTTTATTTTTATTTTATTTATTTTTTAATATGTATACTCGTATTGTTTCCGTGTGATGACGAAGTCCAATGACTTCGTCATCACACAATCACATCCCCCAATGGGGAGGCCTATATGCAGACGTGGACGTGGCTGACTTTATGATGATGATGATGATGTTTTAATTTTATTAATTTTCAGATAAACAAGAAAGTTCATCATTAAGTTCCATGATGCGAAGAGAACTTGGTATGGATGGTAAAATACCAGAGGAAGAAATGTAAGTAGACCAACATGGATTATTGTAACTTCTAAAACACGTAACATAAAATTTTATACTAACTTTAGAAAGACTAATTTTAGATTTCCGAAAATTCATTCTTAGAGAGCTCACACACGAGCGACTTTTGACATTGGTAGGCGACGTAGGCAACTGTTGGCGACAATCTCCGACAACCACCTTTCTTCCTCTTCCAGCTGTCATGACATATTGACATTAGTGACATATTGATGCTGATGCATCGCGACTATCGGCGACCACCTGTGGTATTCGCGATGCATCGGCGACTATTGTCTAATTTGAATATCTGTCGTCGGCGATTGTCGCCGATCGTCACCGGCTTCAGTCGCTGATATACTGTTGCTCGTCTGTAAAGCTTATAGCTCTACATATTATTTTTTTTTTTTTTAGAAAACTTGACGATGGTAACCATAGTGACGAGGAAATAGCCATGCAGCCTCTTCTCCACGGAAAGGACTCTGAACGGATATTCAGAGCAATAGAGTAAGTTATGCACTTACTGTAGGTTTTTTTTTTTTTTTTTTTATCCACAACGAGGAAGCTCTTGGCCTGTATCTCACCTGATGGTAAGTGATGATCAGGCCGAAGGTGGAAGCGAGCTTCACCCGGAATCCTCAACCACGGAGGAACTGGCTATCTCACCTCTAACTGCCGGAACACAACATGTTAACATTGTTGTTATGGCGACAGACTTAGGTAAAATGGTGGTAGCTAGCCAGGCGGACTTAGCCCTATACAGGGTGGAATTTTGTAATGCCACCTGGAGGGAAAGTACTCTTAATACTGTAGATAGAAAATTTTACTCAAAGAAAACATTCCTTTATTTTTGAATAGAAATAGACCTGCATTCAAAGATTTCCAAAAATTTGCATTCCACACACGGAAATCGAACCAACTAAAAGTTAAAAAATTCACCCTGTATTTTTATTGCATCGATCGTTAGTGTTAAGTTTATAAATGAAATCTCTCTAACAAACTTGATAAATTAAATGAAAGGAAAAAACCATGAAATCTTAAATTATTTTAATTATTTACAGAAAATTTTATGGTATGGTACCTACTTAGTGAATTTTCGAAAAATTTTCAAAAATCTTTGAATGCAGTTCTCTTTGTCTTCAAAAATAAAGGAATGTTTTCTTTAAGTAAAATTTTCTATCTACAGTATTAAGAGTACTTTCCCTCCAGGTGGCATTACAAAATTCCACCCTGTATATTGTAAGCCCTAACACCAACCAAACCGAACAGAAAAATCTGCCCCCACTGGGAATCGAACCCGGGACCTCTGCGTCTGAAGCAGGTGGTCTTACCACTAGACCACAGAGGCGGTTCAACCGTAACCCGTGCCGCTGCCATACCTCAGGCACTGATTGAGTTAAACGCTAGAAATATAAAATGTAGTAGGTTTTTTATTATTGTTGCGCACACTTATTACTATTCTGTTTAAAGCCTGGTCCGTAAGCACGTAGAATTTAGTCCAATGACCCCAAGCTACCCAACCTTATCGCTCGCGCGTATTTATGTTGCTGTCGCGCTCGCACACTCACTGCGGGCGCCCGTCGCACAGTCGCGACAGCAATATAATTACGCGCGAGCGATAAGGATGGGTAGCTTGGGGTCATTGGACAAAATTCTACGTGCTCACGGACCAGGCTTTAGTTTATTTTGTCAATTTGTGTCATATTACTTTCCTTTAGTTTTTGTTACTTAGTAGCGCTTCATTTATTTTATTTATGACTTCATATTTTTTTCAAGAAACTGTATTAAAGAGATTCATCTTCTATTATGTTTATCTACGTATTTAATTTTTATTTTAAAATATTGATAAGCGTGCTGTACTAATAAGTATATTGCAGATCTTAAATTATGTGTTATTAATATAATATTATTTCTGTACTAAATGTGGATCAAGCTTTTATTTTACGTCGAATCATAGCACATTAAAATTGTTTTAACTGTTTGTACAGGCACTGTACATTTTATTATTTATACACATTTTTTAAATATTTAATCTTCACATTTTTTTTTATTTTTTTATTATTTATTATTGTTAAAACCACGTAAAAATAAAATAAAAATACTATACAGCTTTCCTTTTAATAGTGGTGGAGGCATTTAAAAAAATATGTAACCTAAAAAATATGTTGGTTACCAAAAAAATGTACAGTTTCGGTACAAATGTAACAACAACAATGTAACGTTTACAGAAAAACATCGAACGATTTAGTGCAGATGAAAAACAACTGTAAGTTTGTTTTAGTGTGTTGTGATTGTTTGCATTTATAAACAACATTTCTATATGAAATTCTTACAGTTTTTTCCTATTAACTAAAAAATTATGCCCTTCGTAGAAGTATTTATTTTGTACTTATCTTATGAATTTTTTTTTTTCATTTAAAATAGTTATTTTCCAACAATAAATGAATGCATTTTACTATCATACTTTAATATTTGCATGTGTTTTTGTTGTTATTAATACGATTTTATTATAATAATATCAAAAATGAATGCATGTATATGGAAAATATTTAAGGTGTTTTCAAGAACTTTAATCATCAAGAAAACATAGCATAAGATTTTAACATTTTATGAACTTCCAAAATGACGTAGTGTACATACTCGTACTTGCGTAGAACAAAATTATTTGATATTAAGAGTAAATCAAGAAAAAAGTCGAAATTAAACGATATCAAAACCGTGTAAGCATGTTTTGGACAACATTTTTAGTGAATCTTCCTTAGGAGCATGGGTAATTTAATAATTAGGTACATTTATGAGAAGTTTTAAGGGCTTCATTTGCCTTTAGTTTACTGGTTTGTTAATATTAAAGACATTTATAGTAAGTGCACTTCTACCAGAACCCTTAATGGCGAAAGAAACTTACTATAATAATAATCATAATCATAATATCTTTATTGCTTCATAATTGATGTTGAGGAAATAAGGATTACTTTTATACATTTTTTAAATATTTTTTTACATATTTTTTTACCCGTTAGCCCCTCGTACTAAGCTAAATATGCTTGTATCACGACTGAGCTCACCACAATAGTCCAGCGGCGGAATAAACACAACAGAACAACAGAATTTTTCTGAAAGGTTTTCGCCATCATAGTTTCTCTGTGGAAGTGCGCTGGCATCTGTGAGATTATTCTTTTCTTTCTTTAATTAACACTATGGCTTTAACCTTTGTTTGTCCAGCTCGTGACAGTGCAAGGAAACAGAACAACAACGTGCCTTATTGTGTAGAGAATCCCGCGGAGAATCTTATTTCACGGGTAAGTTACAAATATAATATTTATATTTTGCCACAAAGTGGACCAATGACCTGATAAAAGTGGCAGGGAAGCGCTGGATGCAGGCCGCTCCCTGCCCCTCCTGGGGGAGGCCTATGTTCAGCAGTGGACGTCCTGTGGCTGAAATGATGATGATGATTTTTGTTTACAACATAATCGTTATCACTACCACCACCATAATTTCGGCCACAGGGCGTCCACTGCATACATAGGTTTCCCCCAATAATTTCCATACTGCCCGGTTGGTAGTGGCCTTCACCGAGCGCCTTCCTGCTACCTTTATGAGGTCGTCGACCCACCTTGTACTAACAGTATTATAGGCCCTATTTCAGGGAAATTATACATGTCCCAAATATCCCTACTCGATTACTACAAACGTAAATAGCTAACCCGTAATCTAAGACTGAGAATTTATTGCTCTGGTTTACCTACTAGTTACTAGTTCATTTTCCTAAATAAACAACACTCCTGTATACCAAAAACGCTATGGCTAAAACAGCTTTGCACATGAATATTGTAAAATAAACATGCAGTTAGGTAGGTGGAGAGAAAATGTATATGAAACAAGACTCACCTGAATCCTTAGTGAAAACTGCCCTGAGCTAAACTTCTTAAAGCATTGGCACAAAGGCGGTACACTATCTGCTTTCTTCGGTATCCTATATATAAGTGATACGTACACAGTTTCACACCCAAAAACAATGCACTGTCTAATCCACTATACACTTGTGTATTAAATAAAACACTGGTATGTGCTAAAACTGTACGAGCTAGCAGCAAGAACTCACGTTCGTACCGTGCGGCGGCCCGAATACGACTGACCCCCACCGGGCCGTACTACTCAGTGTTGCCATAGCGCACACTATTTATTTGTGTATTAGTATATTATCACAACTTGCGAGTCATCTCCAAAAAGAATAATATAAAAAAAAACATAAATAAACTCAGTCCAAAGCAATAGGACTGAGCGTACGTAGTGCAGGAGATGTGTTCGATTGCAAATTCCACGCCAAACTGATTTCAAATCAATGTTGTCAATCAATACAAATCCTCCCGTGTTTGTCTTCACACTCTTTCCAGTATAATGTGAAAGACAGGGAATGTATTTTTTTGAGTCTAAAGGCGGATTTTTTTTTAAATAAATGTTAATATTTTATGATGACGATAACTATCGTTAGAGCTAAATTTGAAATAGGAACGGAAATACGCATTCTATTTATAATTTTGGCGCCGTATTATTGTTATTGGGCCCTTTTCCACGGTAATCAAGTTTGGCGGGATTCTGCACTATTGAACTTGTCTTGTCTTCACGACAGTCTCCCGTTTTTTGGTACGTTTTTTGCGGTACAGACAAAAATATTGTGCTGGAAGCTGTTTGTGGGAACACTTCTATCAAACAATACTTGTAAACTGGATCATTTTTTTACTAGTCCAGTTTCCAAATCAAATAAATTCCAAATTCGAACGCATAGGTTTTATGCGTGATACTGGATGTTCGTGTGAATGTTTAGTATCTATTAAAACACGTAGGTAGTATTACTACTAAACTGGATCCTGCAAAAAACGGGATGGCGTGTTAACGGGACAAAGAGACGACGTGTTAAAGACTCGTAGTCTTTTTGTAAGCCGAAAAATATTGGTCTAATAGAACTTATGCAGGCCCTCCATTAGGTGGACCGACGATCTAAGGTCTAATGAGCTGTTGAGGAAATTCTTCGGGGAGGCCTTTGTCCAGCCAGTAGACGTTTATGGCTGAAACGGACGAACGAAAACATTTGACCACAAACATAATTTTGACTCATTTTTAATTGTTTTTGCCAGGTACTAACGGAGCAGGGGTTAGGCAAGTACTGCGACAGAGAGTTCATCCAGAGTACCTCGCGTGAGATGCAGGAGGCGCTCGACCTCACGCAGGAAGAGATGGACACGTGAGATCACCACTTATTTTAGAAGTGCCAGTTTTACTACTTGATGAGACAGTCCAAAAGTTATGAGAGTAGATCTTGGAAAGATATTCAAAATACACTCGACATTAAATAAATCGCACCCCCCGCGACAAGCACTTTCAAACGTATGCATCACCATTTCCCACCAATATTGGCACCATTCAAAAGCCTAGTTCTAAACTTCATTTCATTAAAGGAAGGGTTTTTACTCCAAAAATGTATCTTTAGAAGGATCCAGAGTCACTTCTTAAAAAAATAGGTAGTCACGCTTGAGCCAACTTTTATGGCTATAAAACTGTTAAGTTGGGATTAATCACTATCCATCTTTTAAAGAGGACACGTGTGATCATTATTTGGTTTTATAACCATAAAATTTGCTCTAATTGATCTCAGAGGTGAGCCCAAAGTGAGGTCTTTTTTCAAGTCACATTTATGGTATAATATTATGTTAATCGTTTATTAAGAAATTAAATGTGTTTTTCTTAAATGAATTAAGAATGAAATTGAATGCGTCGCGAAAGGTGCGGTTTATTTGATGTTGAGTGTATCTAACAGATGTAAAAGATAAACAGTATTTAACAGGCTATGGTTTAACAATGACCCAAATGCAGGTTGTAGACCACGAGCCACGATAAGGTAGTTTAGCTTAGCTGAGGCAGTTTTCCATAGTTCTGTGCAAACTTCAAACTGTACAAACCTGTGGAAAACTGACTAAGCTTAACTCTTGGTTTGCTTGGTTTGTTTTCTCAAACTCTTGACTAATAATTTAGCAAAATGTAATCAAAATCGTTTTACATGAATTTTGTTTTATAGCGCTGCCAATCAAATAATTTTACAAGAAAGAAAAATGAGTGCGGCTCAAAACGCGCACAACAACGTGGTAAGTTAAATTAAATTAAAATTAATGTGACTGACTACATTTATGAAGTCTTTATGAATTCTTGAATGCATTATAATATTTTTATAAAATAGAGTGGGAAACATGATAATTAGGATCAATCATAAAAATTATTTAGAATTCCAATCTCTCGACCGTAATACAGTAACTTGTCAAAAAGTAGTTGCTTGCCAATAAAATTAAAAGTATCTTACTTACTTATTTCCTTTTCAGGAGAGCATCTTCGCCAGGCAGTACCATCCGTTCCACCAGCCCCCCATGCAGCCTCCGCCTCGAAAGAAATAACAGAAGCCTCTATTTTTTGGATTCCCACTTTTTACTTGCACCGGCTGACTGCCGTGTAAGTTTGGAACCCTGAAGGGTTTGGTCAGCTGGCCGTGAGCCAGCTCAGATTGACTCGTGTTAGTGAGAGGAAGAATTTTTGACGAATTTTGTACATAAACCGCTTAGCTTTTGGATAATGATTAGAATAATATTTAATATAAATCGTAATTGTAAGTGGACCGAAAGATGTAGGTTACATTTTGTTTTAACTCCCTTCCATCTATCGTTTTATTGTATGGTGATTTTAGAATGGAAATATATTTTGTATTATTATGTACTCGAGTACATTGTATAATATTAACTATTTATTACTCGGATTGCATTTTACTCATAGGATCAATTTGATCATTATTATCTATTTGAAGTGTATATTTGAATATTTTAAATCACAAAGTATTTTATTAATAATACAGATGGGTTATTATATCACACAAATATATTTATACCACACAAATCACAATACTACGTATGTAGATATGTGCCTTATTTATTCAAATATATATGCCAAAATTGTATATTGAAAAATGTGCCAAAATGTTTGCCTTATAAAATATATTTAGCTGAATAATTTAAACATGAGAAGCACATTATTTATTAAACCTTGGTTCAGATATTATATTATTATTTATCTAAAAATTAATGGTGTACGTTACTCCAGCTGGAAAGTAGCTCCTAGAGTGATATGAGTAGAACGTATAATTAGTTCCCAACATGGTGTAAATGTGCGCCGAATTAGAGATTAGTGCGTGCTGTCGTTTTGGTACAAAACGAAAAAAACGATTCCTGCTGGAGTAACGTTGTTCTAGCAGGAAAATTCTAAACGAATGATCGGAAAGAGAAAAACTGTGTACGAGCAGATAGCTTATATTTGTTCTATTATGTGAGCTGAAAATGTGATTTGTGCGTCTTCAGGTTTTCGAGATATTGCATTTCCTGCCAGGGTAACGTTTTGCAGAATGCTCTATCTCAATAACCGTTATATGTGCGCCTATAGAATAAACACACACGAGTAGCTCTTGATTTGTGCGTATATGTGAAAGAAACATGTTTATGAAAATATTTATAAATATCAAGTAATCGAGCTTTCTTCAAAATCCGAAAAAATCGTGTAGCGCCTGAATAACAAAACATACAAGCTCACTGAAAACTGTATTCGATCCTTCTTAAGACGTATTATAACCATAGAAAGTTTCAAAAACGCACATTCATGGGTCATTGAATAATATCACTAAAAGTAATTACGACGGAGCTATAACTTTGACGTCAAAATACAAGGAATCAGCTACACCAAGATGAGCGGATGTTAACCGTATAATTAGAGCGTTTATTGAACAAATATAAAATACAATATTCAACTTAGAATGTATCGCTTAAAAAAAGATATGCATAAAAATATCAAATTGTAAATACCGGCTGGTTATCCGACCAAATTCGAATGCATACAAAAAAGCGACGGATTCATACTTATCGACGACCTTCTTAACTTTACACACGAACCGGTTGAAATTTGTTGTACCGAAGTACACTGAAGTAGAAAATAACCAGTAAAAAAATAAAATGTAATTAATGTATGACATTTTTTTAAAGAATTTAATATAGTCTATAGTTGGTATGGTTGACATAATAATATAATTATTGGACAATTTTATTGATCCTACTAATATTATAAATGTGAAAGTTTGTATGGATGTCTGGATGTTTGTTACTCTTTCACGCAAAAACTGCTGAACGGATTTTGATGAAACTTTACAGTATTATTGTTTATAACCCAGAATAATATATGTAAGTATTATAAGCTATAATTTACGACGATCTGTGAAACTGAATTTCACGCCTGTGAAGCCGCGTGCAAAAGCTAGTAATGTAATAAAAAAGATGTCCCAAATCGCGCAGTTCGTGGTATACAGGGTGGAAACGATAAGTGATCTCACTCGGTTATTTCTAAACTATACAAGATATCAAAAAACTAGTAACTGATCCTGAAAGTGCTTCGTAAGTTCTATCAAATATGTAGTACCAATAATAGGTGACAGAATATAGTTATAGTTAATAGATGTTTTGTCCCCCGATTCAAAAATCTTGCTCATAACGCATACCTACCTACACTTTAGGATGAGAAATAGCCGTAAATGTGGTAAGAAAACTAAAATTTTGTACAGTTTTGACTACTATTGTCATGCGTAAATTGGGCGCATTCTTTGAAATATTTGCATAACGAATACTATGTATGTAAGTAATAAAACATACAAACATTTATAAGTAGGTATGTATATTGATCTGTGATTTTATGTCATCCCAACTAATATTATAAATGCGAAAGTAACTCTGTCTGTCTGTCTGTCTGTCTGTCTGTTACGCTTTCCCGCTTAAACCTCGCAACCGATTTTGATGAAATTTGGCATAGAGATAGTTTGAGTCCCGGGAAAGAACATAGGATAGTTTTTATCCCGGTTTTTGAAACAGGGACGCGCGCGATAAAGTTTTTCTGTGACAGACAAAATTCCACGCGGGCGAAGCCGCGGGCGGAAAGCTAGTAAATAATACTTTTAAGATACAAAGATAATCATATTGGATGTGTTTTCTACCAGCCCTCTTATTACAAAAATATATGTCTCATATTTTTATCACGTCAAGTTTTTGAGATATCCACATTAACCTAAGTAAGCTGTCTTGTTAGCAGTGTCGGAGTTTCTACTTTATTTTAAATGCGTTTAAGTATTATTTTAACATTTTCACTTGTTTTAAAATGTCACCAAGGCAGTGTAAATTAAGCCCAAATAACTTTTGCTAAGTTTGTGGTCAAATTATATTGTCAAAAACGAAGAGACCAATCACTGAGGCACTGAGGCCGTAAAAAGGTCCTATTTCTATTACTTTCAAATCTCGGTAACAAACCTGATAAAAAATGGGTTCCTGGTGTAGTGTGCGAAAATTTGAGAAGTATATTATTGCACAAGGCTGCAGGAAAAAGAAAACATAATATTCGATGCGGCACCCCAATGTTATGGAGAGAACCAACCAATCACACTAATGACTGTTACTTCTGCCTCAATGAAACTACAGATTTTAACAACAAAAACCAAGAACATACAATATTCTGATGTTGCATCAGGCACAAAACCTGTGCTACAATCTGAAGAAGTTCTTTATCCGTCATTACCCAGTAATTCCAGTAAGGGAAAGATGCTTGGTATTAATTTATAGCAGTAGTGAAGTTTCCTGGGAAACTTTAATTTTTCTGAAAATTATGCGGAAATTGTTTCCAAATTATTGAGGAATAGCTTTCCGCCCGCGGCTTCGCCCGCGTGGAATTTTGTCTGTCACAGAAAAACTTTATCGCGCGCGTCCCTGTTTCAAAAACCGGGATAAAAACTATCCTATGTTCTTTCCCGGGACTCAAACTATCTCTATGCCAAATTTCATCAAAATCGGTTGCGAGGTTTAAGCGGGAAAGCGTAACAGACAGACAGACAGACAGACAGAGTTACTTTCGCATTTATAATATTAGTTGGGATTACCAAGGAATGGGTGTGAATAAGTCGTTAAAAATTCATTTTTTACATTCTCACCTGGATTTTTTTCCTGAGAACCTGGAAAGCGTGAGTATTGAGTATGGCGAAAGTTTTCACCAGGATTTGAAGGTTTTTGAGGAAAGATACCAAGGAATTTGGGATAAAAATATGTTATCGGANTGTTGATTAGGGTTTATGATTTTTTATTTTGTGAGACTTTTCCGATTCGTCAGACGTGACACTGCAAAACCAAATAATAAAAACTAAATACGATAAAATAATATTATTACCTAAATCTCACATGTAAATGAATAAAACAAATTTCATGTTAGACTTTCATGACTTTTTATGTTTTTGATGTAATTTTCTTTATGTCATGCTTTAAGAAGGATCGAATACAGTTTTCAGTGAGCTTGTATATTTTGTTATTCAGGCGCTACACGATTTTTTCGGATTTTGAAGAAAGCTCGATTACTTGATATTTATAAATATTTTCATAAACATGTTTCTTTCACATATACGCACAAATCAAGAGCTACTCATGTGTGTTTATTCTATAGGCGCACATATAACGGTTATTGAGATAGAGCATTCTGCAAAACGTTACCCTGGCAGGAAATGCAATATCTCGAAAACCTGAAGACGCACAAATCACATTTTCAGCTCACATAATAGAACAAATATAAGCTATCTGCTCGTACACAGTTTTTCTCTTTCCGATCATTCGTTTAGAATTTTCCTGCTAGAACAACGTTACTCCAGCAGGAATCGTTTTTTCCGTTTTGTACCAAAACGACAGCACGCACTAATCTCTAATTCGGCGCACATTTACACCATGTTGGGAACTAATTATACGTTCTACTCATATCACTCTAGGAGCTACTTTCCAGCTGGAGTAACGTACACAAATTAATGAATGAATATTTTTCAGAGTTATGTCTAGTCAGATATTGCTTGCTTAAGTTATTTTAATGTATGTTCTGGATATATGACGAGATATATTTTAATGTTGTATTTTGTATGGAATATATTTGTTATTGTGAATAAATTGTTGGGAAAGATTTTAATCTAACGTATTTCATTCTCCCCTACAAATAATATACTTAACTTTTTATAAAATAAAAACAATACGTACATGTGTAGAGTTTTATTAGGCATCATGAAACTGGTCGCTGGATTCTTCAATGTTATCTTTCAATGTTTCCATTTGGTCAGTTATTTCTTGTTGTAATTCACAAATGCGTACTTCCAAATTGTCCTTCGGCGTGTAATCTGGCAGACCATTCCAAACGTCTATAACATCTTGTTTTATAGTTAAAAACTTTTCAGACCCATCTAAACTTCTTAAATCGTTAATGGTATGCTCACAAGTTGTCAGACCACCATCAAAAGGCAGTAAAACGTCCCTGATCATAAGTGGGAATACGTGGTTGTACTGTTCAGACTCAAAACAGTTTTTGCTCTCTTTTCCTTTCATTGCGTCTCTCACACTTTCTGTTTCCTCAATATTATCAGAGTTGTTATCTAAAATGATTGTCTCATTACTCAAACCTTGTCTAACTCTGCTAGGATCTTCGGACATTATTGGAGTATATTCTACTTCACGATCAGCGTTTTTGGACATTTCAGTGATTTCATCTTGTAGCTTCTTTATTATATTCTCCAAATCAGTTATTTGTTTATCAATGTTGTTACTCATTTCTGAAGTTTTAGGTTTTAGGAATGTAGATGTCAATGTAAGTTTTCTCGTATCTGAACTTGCTTCATCGATGCTCCTAGTAACCTCAACCTTAAACTTTTCAATCAGGAGGTCTACGTCGGAACTGCTCGGGGTAGTTGTAAATTGGTCCATGGCTATTCGAGGTATCGTTTCATTCTTTCTTTACATTCGGCTTTCTTCTCTTTTCTTCTCTGTAGTTCGCAGGGGTCTATCTCTGGTGGTGGGGGTAGAGGGGGCTGCGGTGGACAACCAGGCCACGGAAGGTCAGGCTGCTCAGCGTCGGCGTTGTATATGGCGTCACACCTGTTCAGAAGTTAATTTAATTATGCTACATGATAACTAAATAGGTATTATATTTGTAGGCAATGTCACCCGCATGAATTAAAAAAATCATAGCCTATGCTACTTCAGTGTAAGAGCTAAAGTAGGTATACCAGTTTCACCAAAGTCGATTAGTAAGCATTCGTCTCTCATAAATATTTATAATCCACTTTAGTACACTAATATCAACACTATTGCATAGGTATAAGAATGATGTACTTAATTGAAAATTGGTTACCTTGCAGTGCCAGTAGGGTCTCTCTCAACAGGGCAAACTATCGGAAAAGGAGGAGTGGGGGGGATCGGTGGATTCTTCACCCTTTCAATACAGACTGCCAAGCAGGGAGGAGCTGGTTCAGGTTCAGGTATAGGGTCTTTAGGACATATCGTTATTCCAGCTGCCTCCTTCTGTTTGATCTTCTGTAGCGTGCATGGGTCTGGTGGCGGTACGGGAGGATTCGGCTCTACGTGGCACTTTTTCTGGTTCATATTACGGGGTTTAGTCCATTTTATTGGTTTTGGTTGTGATGCTTGGCTGTTTGGCAAGATCTGACAGAGGATAAGATTTTCTATGTCATTGTATATGTCAGTCGATGGTTGCTGGCCAAGTTGCCATTTACTTTTAGCAAGGAGGATTTATTTTTGTTTCTGGTCCTTCTAAGGTCCATTTCACACGTCCTTTCCACAAAGTTTCCACACTTCAGTCTTGTATCGAGGACTGCATGATGTACGTCCATCATAATAAGTAGAGTTGGTAATAATTAGTGGTGCAGTAGAACTACGGGCCACTAAAGACTACGCATAATGACACAGTAGAAAGTCGCGACTATTGATGCCCAATTACTCTTTCCTGTTGACTTGAACCATTAACTAAAGTACTAAAAAGAACAACAACCGTTATTATTCCATCACTTTATTAAGTTAATCATCCTTGTAAACTTCTCTTTCTTCGACTTCTCCCTTCGAATTCGTGCAAACAACCCATCGGGTCTTCCGTTCCTTGGGATTCTTGATTCTTTCTACGCAGAGGGGTGGTTCGTCGCATTGCTGCTTTTTGTTCTTGAAGGTACTGCAGGGGAGAGGATCGTCGCAGGGGTGAGGGGGAGGGGGCTTCTCGCATGACCTGACTCCAATTGATGGGGCATTTCGACACCTGGCTGGAATGATAGAAAATGGTTTTTGGTTGATTCGTTTCAGCTAGAAGAGAAGAAAAGTTACCTAGCTCTATTATTGTGCTATTTGAACATTTATAACACCTATCGTTTCGTTTTCGTATCGTTTTATAACACCTATTGTAAGTATTTTTTAAATATTTCGATAAATTCTTACACAATAAATTCTATTCCCCATAATTATTCCCAAAAATTAGTTTTCATGATGTACGAAGGAGTTGAACGATATGTAAATTCGTTCTTACTTATGGAGTCAGGGCTCTCAGGATTCTTCAGCCTCTCCCGACACAGAAAGGGAGGGAAGCAGTCGCCCTCTGGCTCTTTAAGGGGGTCGCATGGTGGAGGAGGATCACACGGATGGGGGGGCTCGACTTTGCCGCAACTCTTCACGTCGACTTTTTGAGGATACATGATGATACTGCAAAAGATACATTCACGACAAAAGATTATTCGTTAACTGTGAGTATGATGGAATGATGAATCAAGCAAGATGTGTACCTTCAATAAATTGGTCTGTTATAGATAATGTTCTTCAAGATTAGACGTAAAAATGTATCTGCAACAATGAAAGAAATCTAATTATGGTTCCGAAACTGTTGAACTATTGTGCTTCAAAACTAATTTTGACCCATCAATCTCCAAGTGGTTGAATATGACCGCGTTAAAATTGATTTCTATTGTCTCGAGTCACGGGGTTTGAAGAGTTAAAACTATGTAAGTATAGTTGTTGCAATTCACGAAGGCGAGTGAGCTTTATTTACATTTGTGGTGGCTCACTATCATCACCATCGTTATGTGCATGTACACGTACACACACAAGTAAAGCTCACTCGCCTTCGTGAGTTGCAAGAACTATAGTTGTGTAGGGTAACATACCTATACTATTGAGGTTTTTGCTTAGAGTCGCAGCAGAGGTGGTCTGTTGAACATTTGCAGTTGTCTTTCTTGGATCGGAGGTCTGGCTGTTTCTCCATTCCATCAGTTGCTTCCGGCATCACGCATGGGATACACTAGAAAAAAGTATATTAAGTTAGAGAATGCCTGTAAATGTCCTGTGATTTTATTTTAGTTTCTCTGTCCGGTCAGAGGGTAGTTCTGTTTCCAAATCAGACAGAAAACAGCAGAATGTATTAACGTTGGCTTCACACGTTTATCCCAACGTCAATCGTTCAACGTGTGGATCTAGAAATTAGCTCGTCCCAAAGTTGGCGCTAATACTTTTTTCTAGATCTACAGCTACAATCTCTTTTCAAGAGGCGTTGGGACCAATGTTGGATCCAACGTGATCTTCATTATATTTTATCCACTTACCTTCATTCTCTGTTTCTTGCAGTTCTCCCCACAAAGCGTGATGCCTGTTTTGTCAGACATTTTTACTTGGTGGTTACCTATTTTTACATTTTGTAGAAACTTTGGGGTGAAATTTTCTTTCGTGTGTCCTGTTTGCTTGACTGTAATGACATGTGTCATCATCAGCTATAAACAGATGAAGTTTCATTTATCCAGCCAGTGGGTGTAGATAAAAATATTCTTGAAGGTTTCCATACCTGCGCAATTTATAGGTTCGATTTGATGTAAATCGTTATCTAATCTGTCCTCTCTTGAATAGTTCGCTTCCTAGCGATAAGGCCGCCAAAATTCTGCCACTTCCGATTTATTACTTTTGTGAAGTATGCAAAATTAGGTATTTTGCGTTGCTAGTCTTTTACGATTATTGAAGTCAGAGTAATAAAATAAGCAATAATACGCTTGTCAATAAGCTGCATCAAATTATTTAGTGCTATATGGATTTTACAGTAGGTTACTTATTATTATTCTGTGATTTTATTAAATAAGAATAAGAAATAGATCGATCTTAAATTTTTATTTGCAATGTATTAGTGTTTCTTTCTTTTCTCTTCGTTAATGACGCTGGAAAGCGAAGATTGTCCGGAAACGTTAGATCTTTGCGATTCATTTTCTTTTGCGGTCTCTCCATCGCTAAACATCGAAACTATTCTAGACTTGATCGCTGTGAACACACTATTTGGGACACTAGTGGTTGTGGCAGCAGGTTCTTCCGACTTTGTTTTGTCGTAAGGATTTCTGCTTGATAGGTCCTCAAAAGTGATCAAACTTTTGACCTTTTGCAAATCAATATGATCGCTTAGCATCGATAAGGTCGAATCAACTTTAGCAAAAATCTTTCCAATCACTTGTCCAGCTTTATCCATAGTGTCATCTGGTTCCTCGCTATCCGTGCTTTGAGTCTTCGAGTCAGGGTTATCAGTTGATCTAAAATAATTGAAGCTTGTGATCGTTTCTGAGCTTTTATTCTCGTGCACCTTTTGTGGCAGAATATCAGAGCTGCTTACAGATTTCTTCGCAGTTATCCTCCCCAAATGCCTCACACTTTCAGTTCTTATAATTGTCACAGCGTCTTTAGTTGATTGATATACTTTGCCAAAGAAATCTTCAACAGCCGATTTGATGGTAGCAATCGCCTCGCTGTGGGCTTCTATCATTGTCTTTTGCTTTGGTGGAGTCGTTGTAGAGTCACATTCAATGCCAAATCTTTTCTTGATATCACTCATATCACTGCGGTGTTGGTCACAGCTTTTTTCTTTTTTCGGCGGTGCAGCAGGTTTTTCGTTGCAAGGCCCGGCCGATGGCACTCTGTCTTTACATCTCGATGTACCTTCCGTAGATTTTGCTTGGCAAGCAGGAGGTCCTACCGGTGGCCACAAAGCCTCGTCCTTGCAAACTTCTATTGGTTGAGGGCACCCTGGTTTAGCCTTACTTGGACAACCTTTAGGTTTCACTTTTTCTGGGCAGCCTTCTTTTTGCTGCTGATCCATATTGAGCAACTTCAAGTTTGTCGAGGTATTATTCCGACTGAGATTGGTTTTTGAAAAATCTGATCTAATGTGTTTCCCTTTCTTACAAGTACTGTTGGAATCTTTTGCAAGTATCCCAGACTTGTTGCTATCTTTTAAAGTACTTGACGAACCGTTCTTATTGTTATCAGTATCTGGGTTACCGTCGTATCCTTCAAAACAGGGCTCGTAATCCGGGAAATCTTCGTGCGCAGCGTCTAATGCATCTCTAATCAATTGATCGTCTGAAACAGGACAATCTTTTGGGTAATCTTTGAGGTAAGGCTTTATGACTTCACGGCAGTATCTGTATCTATTTGCTACGGCATCGTCCGACACTGATCCGCTGGGACTGTTGTGGTCATGAATTTCTTCTGCAAAAACGTCCTTTATTATTGTGATATCTCTAGGATGTTTCGGATCTTGCACCACTTCACTGAACTCGAATATTTTCAAAGATCCTTTGTCATCTTTCAAACCCGTCGTCGTACTAGAGTCTTTGAGATTGGTGCTACTGGTCTGTGTCTCTTTATGACAAATAGCTACCACATTTTGAAAATTTAAATCTAATGATGGACCGATAGGTAACATAATATTGGCATTGGGAGAACCAATTCAGGAATTGGTTATGGATGAAAGCGATATTGACTTACATTGTTATATTGTATTGTAGATCGTGTACAGCACGTAAAAGATATTAAATTACGTGAAAATAGCATGATTATTTGATTTTACGAGTTCAACATGGTGTGAGAATTTTGTTTTTCTGACAGACAAATTTTTGACAGTATTTTTTTTATTCTTGAAGTTTGTCGAGTGCCAGAGTGAAAATTTTGTTTACCATGTAGGTAGATTTCACATTTATGACATAGCTACAAAAATAAATAAGTACCTATTTGGAAGAAAATTACGTAAATTAACCAAAATTGCTAGACTTTAAGATCCCTCTATTCATGATTTTTAACTAACATAATCATTATTTTAATGAGATAATGCTTTCCTTCTAACTTAGCCTATAAGAAATTTTCTAGATTAGATACAAAATTTATTTCAGCTGGCTCTTTCTTTGCACAAGTAGTATTGCTATCCAGCGAGGAAATGCAAGAAATAATTTTAGTATAATAGAATTGTGAAATATTGAAACAAAATAATAAAATAAAAGGTAGTTTACTGTCTATGAACTATGAAATTGTAAAATTTTCCATTGATTAATGTATAGTATTGATTGTTTCAGTAGAAATTAAGATGTAACATAGGATGTATTACTTCTTGGAACTTGAACATAATTTGTTGAAGTTTCTTATCCTGCGCTCTTCCTCTTCTTCTTTTTACATTTCGCACTCTCTTCCCTCTTTTCTTTCTTTTTGCAAGGAGGTTTGGGTGCATCATCATCTTTTGGAGGTATACAGTTTTCTGTTACTTCTTTTGTACAGACCGGTTTAGGTTGTTGGTCTTCGGATTTTGATCTGCAAATCTTTTTAGGTGGATCTTCTTCACTCATGTTTCTGTTGTTTGATAAATTCACGCTCCGGTATTATGTTTTGGAAGCTGAGGCACTACATTTTTTAATTATACCAATTTATAGTTCCAAAATACTGGACTGTCCTGTCGATGACATTGACAGTGGGGCGCCACCGTCAATACCGGATCGCTGGTTCAGATTTTTGCCATGTTGGAAACCATATAGTTGAACGATGGTAGCGCCCCCCTGTCATTGAGTTTGGCGGGACAGTTCAGCGTGGATCATCTATAGTGGAATATTTTATCGAAAATTGTTGCTGTGTCAAAGTTACATTCTACGTGTCAAAGTCAGGATCAAAGGTCAGGATGACCAAAGATTATACAATTGTCTTGGATCAGGTTTTATTAAAAAATTTGACTTGGTGGTTTCTCTTCGTTCGTGACTCGTGTGTAAAAGTTTGTTTGATTTGCCTTATTAAGCTTTCAGATTTAAGCTTTAGTTTTATAATAGATAATTCTTGAGTAGGAAAACCCTTTTAAAAACACAAAAAAAAATTACAACATTTTCACAAAACATGTTATTTGATCATCTGATCTTTCTTGCTAATTGTAGATAGTTAATTTGGGAGATACACGTCTAATATTAGAATAAAATACATATTTATAAACTCTTGCCTTTATTTCTTACTGGTGCGTTGCCTTACAAATATACTTATTACAAATTAAACAAAAATTACTTCACCTACCGTTACAACGTCGGATTTATTACTAAACGATATGCTTTCAGAAACCAAAAGCAGACTGGAAATAATCATGTTCAATAAATAAAGAGAATGCACAATATATTATTACAAAATGATCATATTTTCATTAAGTATTTTATTTATAAGAGCGAGGGTATTTGGTTGGTTGTAATTGTGTTCTATATATTATTTTGTAAAAACCACAAAATATTTAATAGTAAGATAGGTACTGAAAAATAATGGATGAAATGGAACTCTTCTAAAATATGTAAATATAAAAATCCATTAACTTATTTAACAATTCAAGTTAGTGACCACAAAAGTTTAAGCAATAACATTTTTTTAAATAAAAATGTACCTAAAAAACTTATACTTTTATATAGTAGGTAAATCTCCATGTATTCAAATGTTCAAAACTTATACAAGTAGATGATAAAAGATGATTTTATTGCACAAACACAAAATAATTGTAATGAATATTAAAAAATATGTACAGTTTTGATATTTTTATCGCTTGCAGCGATCTACTAATTTTATATATTTTTTTGTATCCAAATACCCACCGCTCTGTATATTACATTTCTTTGGCGAAAATATATTGCATCATATAAAAAATAAATTATTTTTAATACACTGGACTGTTACAAGACATTACACATAAGTCTTTGGCGTTCCTCTAAACTGTATGTCGGTTGTTTAAAACATATTTAAAAGCATATTATTCTGACTAATGAAAATGTAGTAGCGGAACAACGTAGGCATTATTTACAAAAAAAAAACATTTAAATTATATAATAAAAATAATAAAAACCTTGGACGGAAAGGATAAGATTTTCTCAACTTATAATCCTCAAAACAATATATTCTAAAATGTTTGAACATATCATTTGTATATATTAACTCAACGCATTAAAACATACTCTGAAAATATATTTCTAATCACCAAATGAAGTCGACTTCATTTAAAAATATATTTCTCGAGCTAAAATGCGTAATCATAACTAGAACTAACTTTTTATAAAAAGTAAAAAAAGAAACAAGTAATCTCATAGTAATTTCAAATTAAACTATACTTAAATACATATTTGACTTTCATATATTTGTTCCGAAGCTATAATTTCAAGAGTATTCACATACACACTTAATATTTATAACAATAAGTACAAAAAATAAGTTAAGTAACTTATTACGAATAATAACAACATTAAATGTTATAAAAGATCTATGACGTTGTGCATTGAGGACAGCTTAAATAAAATAAATGAAGTTTTTTTTAATAAGGCTCAAAAATCTAAAAGTATTGCGAAGGACAATGCGCAAAATTGGAGTGTTGCCTTTTTTTAAAACTACTGGCCTTTTATGTTTTAATTTCACTGGGCTTTTTCACTGGCTATAATGAATCAAAGAAAACGTTTTTTACATCAAGATAAAGTTCTTGGCACACACAAGTTACGATAAAACATTTACTTCAATCTCTATTTTTTTAATAACTGTATACTGTATACATAATGGTTTGTAGTAAAGCTGTCATTACGTATTTATTCAAATACTAGCTGACCCGGCGAACTTTGTTCCGCCTTAATGGCAATAAATAACGGGATAAAAAGTATCCTATGTCCTTCTCCTGGCTCTAAACTACCTCCCTGACAATTTTCAGCTAAATCGGTTCAGCCGTTCTTGAGTTATAAGTGGAGTAACTAACACGACTTTCTTTTATATAATAGATATATAGATAGATTGATTTCGTGGCCAGCATTTTTGAGGCTAAAATAGGACCCATTGTCCTCGCATTGTATCACTACTGAGGTAAAAGAAAAAAGGTAATACTTAACCCTAATAATGACATTGAATGAATTACATTTAGTTTCATTTAAAATACATTATTTACATCTTAGTCTTAATGAAGTTATCTTATACACTTTGGCTCTCTCATTCAATATATTCTTTCATTTAACTAAACAATAATGAGTATAAATGAACTGTTGGAGTTAAAAATAATTTTGAGAAAGCAAAGTTAGAAGCGTACTGACCTCTGAAATTAACATTTATAACAGAACGTATAATGAATTGTACATATATTAATTTATCTACACAATAAGAGATTTACTAAAGGAATGATAAGGTATTAAACTAAAATTCTCACATATGGTATAAAGTGTCCTTTATCACTTGGTTTCGTTGTGAGTCGCCGACGGCTACTGCTCGCACGGCGTCCGTTGATATCTGAAACAAATTAATCACATTGTTAATTAATTTGATTAATTACAATCTTCGACTTCGCCTTTCTAAACATTAATCTGTCACAGAAAAAATAGCATTTTTCTTACTACATAGACCTTACTTCCTAACATTAGAAATGATAGTTTCGACGTAAAAGCTTAAATTTCTTCAATAAGTTCTCTTTAGTAACAATAATGCTACAAATCCTTTTAATTCATTCTAGTCTATGCGAAGGATGAGAACATGTTACGAATGGACAAATACAAAATAATTTCGTAGTTATTACTATTGCATCTTGTCTTCCATACCTAGAAATCTATTTAGTAAAAAGAAACTTTCTTAGTAACAATTGATGAGCTTTCTTACTAAAATTGTTACAAAATAACATTATTAAGCCGTTTTTTTAGAACTCCAACATAAAACTTGACTAGACATCAAAAGTTCCCCTCCAACCGAAATAACTATTTAGTATCCAGCAACATCGCCAAGTTTAAAAGTGATAGCAGTGGAATCACTTAAATTTAATGCCCTACAACTTATCCTGGCCCCAAGGGACGTCCCTTTGTCGGGGGGATGATCGAACAACGCCTTTGTTGTAGGTGTGTGAGTTTTGTTTGGGATCTTGTCTTTTGCTGAAATGGTCAGATAGAATTTAGATTCAGAAATTCTAAGTTTGGAGTGACTAAGAGCGTATAAATATGAATATTTGGACTTAGGTAATCAAGTTATTGGAAAATAAAACTACCTACTTTTATATAAGTTTTTTACCTTATCCGACAACGCTAATGCAATATAGTAGAACTTCATCATTATAAAGGTGGAAAATAATATTCAATTTTTTTTTACGCAAGACAAGGCAGTTATTTGACCACAATCGCACCTGATGTTAAGTGGGATGCAGTCTAAGATGGTACATATCTGCCCATGATCATGATCTATGAATCTACGGTTGACTTTGAATCGAGTACTGAGTTGGGTTCTTCATAATAAATGATCGTAAGAACCGTAAACTTACATTTACATTATAACAAAATACATGAACATCGAGATTCAATAAATGCTTCACCAAGATGATAAATCAATTTGTATTTTTTTCTCCTAGGATTCAGTTCGTGAGAACAGACCCAGTGAAACTAAATTTTGCGTCAACTGATACCACTCAATCAAATAAGTATGAACAGTACAAAGCATCAATATAGTTATTTGTCGATGACAAGGAAAATCCTATTGGAATTGGTGACAAAACTCTGAATAACCCAAAAAGGGGGAACAATGATCCCACTACTTTTGTTCATACGGTTGAAATTCGAATACAATGTGTGAATCGGGAATCAAATAGCACATCCCTCTAGTTATTCAACAGCTTTGATGTATCGCACTGGGAATTGGGAGTTCATACCTAATTTGATTGTAGAATCAAAACAGTAGGAGAGTGTTCTTTTATCCGTAAAGTAGTTTTATTGGATCGGAATAACATTTGTTGTAAGTGATAGACAAGTTTTGAGGATAGTTGTTACTCTGTTTAAGGAATGGCTATAGAAAAAGATTGTTTTACTGAAATTAGCATCAGAAACATTGAGTACAAATATCGGCGAGTGAAAGAAAAAAAGTAAGGCCTTCACCTTGGGACTGATACAAAATACTTTGGGAGTAAAAATAGGTATCATTACTTAATTCAAGGTGAACTTTGGGACTTATGAATGTCTATAAACAAAATAATGGTCATTAATAAAAGCTAAGTGAGAGAATCAGGACGATTTTAATAAAATCACACCCAAACAAATTGTAAATAACAACCACTTTTCGAATAAATTACAACACCGATTAAATAACGTAGGTGCTAACACAGATCCCTGTGGCACACCTGCAAAGTGTGGCCATACAGCGGTTCCAAGTGATAAACTGTGTGGGATTTATTCCTCACACACCGCCATTCGTTTTCCAGTGGCTGTTAAATGGTCGGACGTTTAAAATCCAGTAAAATCTCGGACAGACGAGAATGCGAGCGAGGTCAAAGGCTCCGTTGAAATCTTTCCCCAGAGGTTTGTTAATGTATTGAGGTATTGAATGAGGTGTATTTTTCCGCAATAAACCTTAAATTGGTGATGGGAGCCCAAACCAAATGGTAAATTGAAATTAGATGCGATTGTATCACTATGTTTTTATCACTTTTAATGATTTGAGAGCTAAGAATGGCTATCGTTTTGCATTATTATTACTCTAGCAAAGATAAACAATAAGTAAAGTTCTTGTGAATGTCAATACTGTAAGATTAGACTTGTTGTCGAGGTATAGCAATATTGAATAGAAGATACGAATACTCACCACTTGGACAGTAGCCCCGTGGCGGCTGAGTGTGTGTAGGGGCCTCCGTAGGGCGAGTACTGCGAGTAGGGCGCCGCGTATGCGTACTCGCTCGCTAATGTTGTTGTACCTGGAATAATAACATAAATACACTCGTAAAGTTTTAAATAGAATTAGATATACACATAAAAATAAAATGCATGACGTCTAAGAATTAAAGATAAACTGCAAAAAATCCAAAGTCAATATACAAAGAAATAAAATATCCGAAACAAATATTTTGGATGCCAACTAAATAAAGGGAACAGGAATTAAGCGACTAAAAGCAGCTATCTGCTGTGGCAAAAAAATATATGGATGGTTTTTATCACCCTGAAAATATTTTACTAACTACTTGATACGGTGAATTAACATTTTACTTGTGGTACTTAATACGGTAAAAAATTGGTATACTTTAATTTTTAAAGTTAGCTATGTCGTTGCTGAAATATTAAAATCACCGAGATGCTCGACACGCAAAAAATCCTGTGAACTTAGCCCGACACGCCTTTTAAGACGAGTAAATAAAGTATAAAGTACATAACGACGCCCCTTGACGAGATATAACGAGCTTTATACGCGTAACCACTCCGATATGCCACCCCCGCAACACTGACAGTTTAATATTTATAACCGAAATAAGCCTACAAACCCGTTTCAAGTACTCAGAGCCACTTCTGTCGCATCACAGACTCGTGTTTCGGTTCGTTACTCGCTCCAGACAAAGCCCGTATGATTTCCAACCCCCCACCCCTCACCCCTCTAAAATTATTTGCATAGAGCCCCGAATGAGCTATTAAAGATGTCTGTCCCCCCACCACCCCTCGGATAAGCAGATTGCGGTAGATTAAAGACCAAAAGCATAAAGAGAAGTGGCGTCCCTAAAGCCGCCCCTTGCGGTAGCCCATTTTAGAACCTTCCTTTAATATGCATAAGTGCGAAAACTCTGTGGTTCTGTATGAATTTTATGATGTTATAACGGAGAGTGGCGGGGGGTCCGACGAGAAAATTAGATTTTCCTCAGAGTGCCTCGAAGTGGTGTGCTCGACTTTGTCGAATGCTTTCCTAAAGTCGTTGTCGTTTTTTCAGCGTGATTCTTCAACTGTTCGGCCCTTTTGTTTTGTTTTCATTGTTTTATCTCCGCGGGTCGCGCCGTGATCTCTTTATTACGTTCGTAGCTCGTGAATGGGCGCTTCGATTGACGTTTTTGTGTTAAATATTTGTAAAGAAACGCCGTGAGTTGCTCGGAAACAAAATTATTGTGAAAATATCTAATTAAACTTATTAGATGGGCTTATTAAACTTATGTAAAACTTAATTGCTATATTAAAGTTACGCTTTCTACAGTAATTTAAACATTAACTATGCGGTAAGATTGATATTAGTGGCACAATGAGTAATTTTCCTTTATAGTCAGTCTTAAGTCCTTACTTATGAAAGTACCTTATAATTTCAGGAATGACATATTTTTTGGTCAGGTATTGTGACATTTACAACGAGCAGATTTATGATTATTTATGCTCGATTTCAAAAAATTTAAACAAATAACAGCTCGTCCTGAATAGCGTCCACTTCTATAGATCGTTTGTTTGAAGTTTGTTCCAAGCAATCCGAGCGTCATAATTGTAGTGTGCGTGTGCACTCATGGATCATTTTTAGCGTGTACCGATAACACTCAAACATTAGCGGACGAATGGTGGGGCGCGTCTTAATGGATGAAACGATCCATAGTAGTGGACTACCAAGGCTGCAAAGATCATGACAGTAGTGATTAGTATCAGAGTAAATACAAATGAGTAGGTCATCTTCATAGAAACGCACCGAGCGCGGTTTGTATGTGAGCGCGCCAATACGTATGCGGCGCGCACGCACACACTGACAAAATTTGGCGCAACCACGACTGGCTCCCCGCTAATCCACGCTAATTTTTGTCAGTGTATGCGTGCGCGCCGCATACGTGTTGGCGCGCTCACCTACAAACCGCGCCCGTGCGTTCCTATGAAGATGACCTACTCATTTGTATTTACTCTGTTTGTATTGAAGACTTACCATCATAGTGCGCGTACGGCGGGTACGGCGGCGCCGGCGGCTGCAGCACGACCAGCGCCGTCGCGTCGGGGCTGGCGGCTGCGGACGGCGGCTCCGCGCCGGTGCCACCGTTGGAGCCCGTCGAGTCGTTCGTTGCTGAAAGAGAGCATACAGTTAGAAAAAATAGACTTAATACTCTATTTAAAGTTTTAATAAGTTTTATGTCCTTTTCAGGGCATCTTTAATAATATGTCCTAGCATTCTCTATGGTGGCTCCGTGCCGGTGCCACCGTTGGAACCTGTCGAGTCGTCTTTTGCTAAAAGACAGCATACAGTTAGTCAGAAAGTTTAGACTTAATACTCTAAGTTAAAGTTTTAATAAGTTTTTAAGACCTTTTCAGAGCTTCTTAACATGTCGTAATAATATAGCTTGACCTACTCAATACTCTGCACAACATATCGGCTGGTGCAGAGAGGAAGTGGTGGAAGAAAGCCAGTCCTACTTGTAATATTAATGTGAAAAGTAGATGCATGATGAGTATGGATTTTACGACTCCGTGCTGCGAATGGCACGTTACAGCCGTGTAGGTTCGATTGAGTCATAATAACAGACGCTCACTATGAAACCAGGGTATCTTTTACTCTAAACTTTGTTTTAATACTTTTGTACCAACTTGTTTAAAAACTCGTACACCTTGTACCTACAATAAAATAATACTTGTAACGAGTATAAAATGTAAACAACAATTGAAGCGACCTTTTGTGCGAGCAAACCGCAAAATAATGGACGTGGTGTCGATGCCCGCCGAACTGGTAGACAATGGGATCTAGTCCCAGGTGGGATGGGTAGGGCGACCATGCTGTACCTAATTTATGGGACAAAATAGGATTTGTGTTTGGAAGTGTTTTCCTTAATTGGATGATTAAATAAACCATGCCACATATTATATTGGTTTAGGTATAGTTTGTGAAGTTAGGCCGACTTGAGATCCGAGGAACGCGGGTTCGAATCCCACCGCCGCTCGACTATTGTGGTGACACAAGCGGTGGTCCACTCGTAACACAAGCTTATTTAGCTTAACACATTTATTTTTACCCGACTACCCAAAAAAGAAGGGTAATGATTTTAGTATCACTACATAGTACAAAACAAAGTAACTTTTCGCTGTATGTCCCTATGTATGCTTAGATCTTTAAAACTACGCAACGGATTTTGATGCGGTTTTTTTTATAGTTAAAGTGATTCAAGAGGAACTTAGGGACTACACATCAGTGTTGGCAAAAAGTTAATCTGATTAATGATTAAAAATTAATGATTAAAATCATAATCAAATTTTTTTGATTATGATTAGTTAATCATTAATCAAAAATTTTGATTAAGATTAATTAATCATAATCATTAATCGTTAATTTGATTATTTGATTAACTATCTACTATTTTCATAAGAAAAGGGTTGGGAGTGTATGAAAAGGTACCCGCGACTTATAAAATATCTAGCAAAGGGGGATCTGGAGTTGTACTGTCGTTTTCCCAAAAAACTGCGTCAATTTTCACTACCAAAACACTTATCGCACTAGTTTTGTTTCTCACAATTCCTTCTATTCTTCCGGTATCCTCCAGCAAAATTGGGTCAGGATAGAAGTTAAGCGGGCTGGCTGACGATAGGGGAGAAGTCCCCCCCCCCTCCCAAGGTAGGCGCAAGCGTGGGCAATTCAACGGAAAGGTGGGGTTGCTAAACTAGGACGTTTTGTGTGTTGGGGAGGTGCAGGAGAGTTCGTAACAGAAGTTAAGTTTCGGGGGGAGGCCCACGCGTGGGCAATTCAATAGAAGGGTGGGGTTGCTAAGCTAGGAGGTTTTGCGTGTTGGGGAGGTGCAGGAGAGTTCGTACCAGAAGTTTCAGGGGAGGCTAGGGGTGGGGGCAGGTGGTGGGAGTGTGGGGTTGCAAGTAAGTGCTGGAACGGTAGGGGAAGTGGACTGATATCCTCCCACGGGAGGTCGGAAGACTGCACCGGAAGTTTCAGCGAGGGAAGGGGGCGGGGGGCAGTCTAGGTTACCTTATATTTATCTAGGTATGACCTGTCATAGAATTGTAGCCTAAAACCAAACATCTAATATTAGAATTCAATGTTTTAACATTGTTTTCGATAGAACATTTAAGAAGTTAATCAAGTTAATCAAATTAATGATTATTGATTAATGATTAACAAATTAATCATGATTATGATTACTTTTTTAATCATGATTATTTTAATCAGGATTAATTTAATCATGATTAAAATTAATCAAATTAAATAATTGATTAAAAAATTAATTGATTAGTGCCAACACTGCTACACATCAAACAGAGAATGGGCAGCAGCGCTCTCTGAAAAACATCAATCTTTTAAACTGCGATCTCCAACCCGCCTGCCAAGCGTGGAGATTATGGCAAAACCCTCCACTATAGTGGAGGAGGCTCATAGTCCAGCAGTGGACTGTAAAGGGCTGTTGATGATGATGATTCAAGAGGAAGGAAGGTCTTAGTCGTGCGAAGCCGGGGCGGTTGCTAGTATCTAATAAACGAGTACTACGAGTAGTCCGCGGTGTCATAAATACAATTTATATGAAAATCCCCACAAAACCAAATGTGTGGTCACATAGTGTGGCTGCGCGGGCGCATCTCGTGTTACTGAGACGGGTGGCGGCGCTCCATTCACAGGAGGATGTGGTCAGGGTTCGATTCTCGGCTGCGTTTCATTCATTACTTGTTATGGTGTGAAATGGAGTTGTTAGAAGAAGCGAATAAGGTTGGATAACTATTAGCTCTTTAATAACAGTCTAGAGGTGGCAGAAAACTTATCACTATCATGTCTTTTTTGTCTATTTATTAATTTTTTATGTACTTTTTCGTAGCTCGTACAAAAATGTTCACAAAATTAACACTTCTTCCAACTTACGAAGGCGAGTGAGCTTTACTTGTGTGTGTACGTATACATGCACATTAATGATAGTGTAATGTCTATCAAAACTTTTTAAAAAATAACAGTAGCGAGCCACCACACATGTAAAGCTAACTCGCCTTCTTTAATTGCAACAACTACCTATCTCTGCATGTTTTGGACCATGTCTAAAGATTTAGGTAAATTCGAAGGCAATAGCTTAGTTGCACCACCTTAATTTTAACCGTAACTAAAACTAGAACTGGTGTTTTTGTATGGATTTATGACGTTTTTTATAGTTAAAGTAAGCAGTAGATGCAACGCAGGGTTAATGTACGAAAAAAGATACATTGTAATGATGTCATTTATGATACAACACATACAAAACGTAACAAATATGATATCGATCCGGATTCCCAGACCGCAAGCGCGGTGTACCAATAATAACTGCGGTAATCACTATAGTTATCCGTTTTTTGTTTGCTATACATGGGAACGTTGGTTTGCAAATGGGAATGGATCGGATCTGATATTGAGACAGGTGTTAGAGGGATTTTATATGATTTTTGTCTTGCTTATTAATTGTAGGTATTGCTATTATTTAAAATAAAGTAGATGGGCATTAATTATGTTTAATCTTGAACTCAGAGATGATCCTTTAGAGTAGGCGCACACCCTGCCCGATTTTAAATTGTATGAAGAATCGGCCAAATCGAATCGGCGTAGTGTGCGCACTCCCATACATGCCCATACTGATCAACTGCCCGACTAAACTATCGGCCGACGAAAAATCAACGGTGTACGCCTACTCTTACTTTTTAGTTCATAAGATGACTACGTAATTAAACTATCATAACTAAATCGAAATATTGAAATGTAGTCCGACATGTTGTCCCGATGTGGTGGTGGGGCAAACTGAATTGGGACATGTATATTATACATGTCCCAATTCAGTTTCCAATCAGTGCCCTAAGGTTATACGCACATAACATAAAGATCTACACTATTCATTGAGAATTCATACAGCGATACAAAGTGCTAACAAAGCAGGCTATAATAGAATTTGAATGCTAATTTAGCCAGTGTTATTTTTTAAAGTTGAAAACGTAAAAAAGGCTTTATTCATTACCCTGAACATCCAAAAAACTAATCTACCAAACGAATGGAGGACGGTAAACAAATGTGTCGGTCAGGCGCGCCAATCGGCCAACTGATGCTGTGGGCGAACAGTTTATTTTGAGGGGAAAAAACGGTTTTCATTTAGGTCCCAGCGCTTGAGGAATGAGCGGATTATTTTATGCAATGATCAATTTTAAACGTATCTTTTGTATATCACATAATATGAAAGTCCTACGTCCATGATTCAATACTTAAAGCTCTATCTTTATTTGATCTTAAGTTCAAGAGTGTTATTTCTTCGATTATCCATAATGTAAAGCTCTACCTTGACCATCTTTATAAGCTTAGGCGGGTCCACGTAAATGAGCTTAAGAGCCATTTTACATTTTCGTGCGAATTTCTAAGATTTTGGAAGCATGAATTACTATCTTAAGCAACACCCAGAGATTATTTAATAACTGCGAAAGATAGGTCGATCCTTGTTGTTGACCATTAATGAAACGGATTTACTAAAACTCTTTTTCTTAATTCACAGTGCCCCATCTCCCACAACCATTTTACGAAAAAATTGCCGCAGACTCATTTTCAAAGTCCTGTATCTATTATTTATGCTCATATAATAAGCTTAAAAATATAAAGTAATCATCGGACATATATTCTTGTAGTTCATTAATGAAATAGATTCTTGAATTTCATTACCATTATTGAGTAAAATCTAAAAATAATTTGGCAAATTTGAAGATTAACGTCACATTTTGATCGTGGTTTTTGGTTTAAAAACACAGCAATAACTGCAATAAAAGTATCCCAAAATAAAGAATATTCATTGTAGAATTGATTTCTACAGTTATTGTTTAAATATTAGTAACCACTTTGTCAAAATATTGATGTGAATATCAGTATAAATTACAATGCGCAAGCCGACATCGATTAGTATGGCGCGAGCGCCCGTCAAGGCAGGACGTGTGTCATTTTTCCCGCCGTGACGTTTACGTGCGTTCGTGTCGTGAAGCGGTGATTTGTACGGCGACCAAATACATTTGATACTATGCCGAGAGGCTGTTTCGAGTCGGCC